AATGGGTAACTTTTAAAATATAAAAGAGCACCAAAACTAAAAGACTTTGAGAAATGAAAATAACAGCATTTTATGGCATATTGGGCCTTTAATAATAAGTAAGGAAATGACAATTTATACAATTTATTTAATACATGTACTTATAAGAACAAGATGATAGGATAGAATACAATACAAAAGTTTAAGCTTGTTATTATAACAGGTTACAAATACAATCAAAAGTTCATACTAATTAAGTGTTGACATTGTTTACATTTTTCAAATCATGAGGGGCTTATATCATTAAACAAAATAAATGTTTTACATTCTAATAGTCGTTCCTGTCTGGGTGTATATTTTAGACCGAAGTTCTATAAACCAAACAGATATAAATTATACGGGTGCAAAGGAGCCAAGTCGTACATGATTTTGAATAAGATGCACGATCGACTGCGGAATGGCACGGTTTGTTTTGCGAGTCGTCAATGAAAGTACAAAGTCCATAAAAAATTCACATACATCAGCTTTATAGCTTGGGATCCATTCATCCATTCTTAACTTTTCGCTTTGTTGCAAAACATTTTACAAACGGAAGAACAAATCTCCGTACTGTATAAAGAAATCAAACACGATAACGTTTACATTATTCAGTCGTACCATTATGATATAATGGGTTGTGAAAGTTATTCATTTATTAAATTTTGCATTTTTGTTGCTATATAGTAGAATATAAAGGTTTGAAATCGTACATTCGAGTAGTGTTGTAGTTAGAGAGTTCAGGCTATGAAAATGGGGTTTCGAGTTCAAATCTGCAATATATTGTGTATGTTTTTTGTTGTTTATTTACTTTCAGAATATATTTTGATAGCATTTCACGTATCTATTAATTTTGTCTTTTATCAAAACGTAATTGATTTAATTTTTTGCACAATTGAGATTTAAACTTATTACGGTTAAGCAAACTTGAATGTATAAATTTGATTTTTACACTCACTGTACAGATTAAATAGCATTATTATTTTTATTGGTTTTGAAACTCTGAATTCCGTTCAAAACATTCAAACAATTTTGGCTCATTTGTATATACATGTGTATCTATTTTCTTTCAGTCATTTGTCACGCTAATTATCGAATGTATTGCCTTAACTCATTCTGTGCGGAACTTTAAACCAATCAGATGAAAAATATACCTAAAAACACGGACGTGCTATAGCTGCATGATCTTAATTGGTCTGCACCGGTCGCATGGGTAGGTAGAATAATTTGCCGCCCGCAGGCTTTGGGTTAATTGGAGTGTGAAAAGAAGTCGAACAACAATTCCTTTGACATGAAAGAGGCCGTCTGTAGAGAAAAAGCCTCTTTACAACAGGGGCAGTTACTTAAATTCTTAATCCTAAGTTAAATCTCCCTTGAGCAACACCTCTCATGGTCAGCAACAACTAAAATCTTCAAAAGTCTATTGCTCTGTAACACCAAAACTATTATCATGTTTCAAAATAGATACAATACGCCAATCGGTCAATTGTACCGCAAGCTCATTATCTTTGGAAATTGCGGGACTAAAATTACTTTTAGATCATTGATCAAGCCCGTGATAAAGGCCCCGCCATATGGACATAAACAAATGGTGTAAAGATCCCATTGGCTGCAAAATGGGCACATTCTTCGCTACTTTGTCGACAACTGGAGCCATCTCATTGAAATGACTGCTAATTCAGGGACAAACAGAAGGTAAAAACTAAGTTAAACTATGCTGTATATAAAACTAGAGGAATTACAGTTGAAGTTTCTTCAAAACATCAGAGTAAAAATAACCTTTATATAAAAATGACAGTACATGTAATTTAGTTCATGTATTTGAAATTATACACAATGTATGCAATCACTTTTTTGTCAAAAATTATCCAATTCAGATACTTTTTCAACAAGTATATGTGCACCACTCTCAATCTGTGATAATTATCGAGGTTTATGCAGACCAATAGACCCTTCTTAATATTACCTCATACATATTCATAGATTTTTCAGAACGAGGCTAACAGGGCAAGCTTCGGTATCTGCTCTATGTAAACATATCACGAATATATGGCCGAAAGATTTTTCTACAGTGTCAGAGATCTTGATAATGTTCTGTTTGCTACATACTTGTTGAGAACTATATTTAATATTACAAAAATCTCTTCTGGAGATAAATAAATCAACAAAGGGTTTAATTTACACTATACACAGTGAAGGATATACAAGACCTGATAAGTCAATTAAAGTTTATGATAATTCCAAGTAATCTCTAATATACTTTGTCAGTATAAATATCAGGTTAACTCTTTCCATTTTAAAAAGACATTTTCTGTGTTATCAGTATTTTATTGCTAACCTAAACACATGTTGGTCAAGAGTGTATAAAGCAATTAACTGATAATAGATGTAAACAGTTGGATGCTGAATTCTGTACCATACTTCCCCTAAATTTAGCTATTGAAATAAAAAAGTTTAAAAAAGTTTTATTCACTTTGTATTTAAAAGTAAAATATTCTGGATGACTCTCTAGAACTGTAGAAACTTGTTAATTTTACAGACAGCCTCATCAAATCAAAATAATATTTTGTTTAAACATGACACACCTGTCTTATACATTTCAATGGATTTTCAGTATCATAACACATGATGTTCTTTACAGCAATATAAAAATACATTTCATGCTAAGTATGGAACGTAAAACTTATATATTATCAACTATTTAATAAATATTTAGTATATAACGAAATACAATCATTTAATTGCAAATATCAGTCAAATATTAAGACGAAGCTGAAGTATCATTAGATCATTGCACTTGTCCAGTTGGTACGACTTGATAATGTGGTCATATTGTTGGAACCCTCAACTGGCTGGTATATAACAAATCATTGGGGAACACGGCAATTCCAGAGGATGTTGCCTGGACTTACCAACTCCAAATATTCCATGTACTTAGGGGACTGGACATTTGGAGAAAACCTGTTCAGGACCTTGCAGTCGGAGGTTATTAGGAAAGGCAGCATCAAGTTTTAGCACTTCTTTTAACATTCCAAGAAATATTCTCTCAAAAATATAATGCAATAAGAGGACAAAATATTAAATGTAATTAACATGTTGACATATTCCCTGCAGCTCCGTACTACCATATATGTAACAAAGCACAATGTTAAAAACAAAGTAATGCGATGATTTCTTTTTAAGTTTTTATTTAAATTCAAGGCGCAAAAGACTGAACAAATGGTCCTTTAAAATATGCTTAAAAACATTTCATCAGTCAAGCTGATTGTTTTGCTTGCATCATAATAAACCCTCTTAATGTTTTTGCTGATGTTTTATACTAAATTGAAAACTGTAATGAATATAATTATAGTAAATTTTGTTGGAAATCATTAACATTACAAAATATACAACTGTCAACATTTGAAAATTTGTTTGTATCAAACGTTTAATATCACTGTTTGTTTTCTTCCTAAGTTTTCTGTAATTCTTCTTTGAAATGTTTGATAGTTTCTTTTTCATCTGCTATGCCACTGCCATGAAGAGATATTACAATTTAAGGCGATTCAAATACCAGTTGTCAATTTGTGTTCATGACTGTTACCAATGGAACATGAAAAAATATATACATTTTATTTATACGTGGAAACAAGAATTATGACATTTCTAGAATATATCAATTTATATTTTAATTGCACATATATTTTTTACAGGGACTGAACTTTGTTTATGTGTAAAAAATGAAAATTAAGTCTTGTGTATACCTTTTATCTGGTAATGAAATCTTCTTCTTTAGTGTTCATCATACTGGTCTGTTGATTATTACTCCAGTCGAACCATCTACAGGGATCTATTCTCTTCAGACATACATGAATTTATGTCCATGATTGTTATTCTTATTGTGTGAAATGCTTCAAAACGAGCAACTATTGCAAAATATTGATCTGAAATAGTACATAAAATAACCGTTATTGCTTTTTAGTATAAAAACGGTATTGATTAAGATTCTAAAGCAATTTTGTTTTAAATGTTATCATTATAAGTGTGATATTTTAAATGAAATTTAAGAACAAAACATATAATTATGTTTATAATTTAATGAAACATTTAAATCAATGAGAAATCAGAGTAATTAATGTAAGCAGTAATACATCTTAAGTAGCTTGGTTTAAAAAGAAAAGAAAAATGGTATTTTACCTTGAAATGTTCTTTCATCATCTTATTTTCACAATCCTTTCCTTTATTAAACTCACATCCTTAGGTATTTTATGAAAATTAACGGTATAATCATATCTAGAATTGGAATAACAGAGTGGAATAAAAATGAGATTTTCCCAGCAAGTTAAACACACTAGGGCTTATCAGGTCAGACATTATTTGTTTACATTCATGCCCTGTTAGCCTCTCTCTGGTGATGGAATGTAAAGTATGCATACAATTTGAGAAAGGCCTATAGATCTAATTTAATTCATACGGGGAAGTCAAAGACCGGGCCCGCGAAGCGGGTCCGGGCTTTGGCTTGCCCGGCTATAGACTACACGTGTATATTTAAAAGAAAATCACATAAAAAACAATTAAAAAATATATAAAATTCTATACCTATCAAAGAAATTTTCAGTGTCAGTTCTAGTCGGGCGCCGCCATTTACAATGTAACTCAATGATAAATGGCGGGGTATTCCGATAACGGAACAAATCTCCACTTTTCGGATAAATGATAATCGCCGAGTGTTCCGAATGAAAACGGAAGCGGTACATGTAATACCGAATGACACCTTTAAAACGGAAAGAATGAAAGGAATTTTTAACGACTTCCCCGTCCATAGGCTTTGCCTAATTTCATATTACTGTATTTGAAATAATAATAAAGTTGATGTATTAGGTCCAATAAGGCCTGGATATTAACACGGACTGTAATTATATAAAGCTCGTGATATGATTGTATGAATGTAGATCTGGCAACGGGCATTACTATCATTGGGATAATTATATTTGATTTTTAGTGGTGTCAGGCCCAACAAATACGACAACAACAACAAAATGGCGTCTGAAAAGATGAAACAGCTAATTTCGCGGAGAGATGATCTAGAAGCAGAGATTAAGGCCCTGCATGAAGTGCTTGATTCGGTATTATTTAAATAAATTCTATAATCTACATAACAATATAACCAGCTGTCAAGTGCAGATAAACACATTTTCAGTCATGATACTTATGTCGTAGTAGTCGGATAATTAAATTGCCGGATACAATGACTCTTTTTTTTATATTTTGGCTGACCCATCAGGAACAGTGACACAAACAGGCTTACGGTGTTTAGTAATATGAAATTAGGCAAAGCCTATGAACGGGGAAGTCGGTAAAAAATCCTTTCATTTTTCCGTTTTAAAGGTGTCATTCGGTATTATATGTACCCACTTCCGTTTTCACTCGGAACACTCGACGATTAATATTAATCCGAAAAGTTGAGATATGTTACGTTATCGGAATACACCGCCTTTTATCATTGAGTTACATTGTAAATGGCGGCGCCTATCTAGAACTGACACTGAAAATTTCATTGATAGGTATAGAACTCTATATATTTTTTAATTGTTTTTTATTTGAATTTTCTTTTAAATATACACGTGTAGTCTATAGCCGGGCAAACCAAAGCCCGGGCCCGCTTTGCGGGCCCGGACTTTGACTTCTCCGTATAAATATTCAGTGTGAAAAACATTATAAAACCACGCTATTTTATTTTGATTTATATTAATCTACACTTTATAGATAAAAAAAAAGACAAAACTGAAACTATTTTATGTTGCCTTTTTTGTTGGGTTTGTAAAAATTACCAGGTATGTTAGAGTCCTGGACCATCCCCCTCCTAATTATTTTAAGCAAAATTTGACAAGCTGAACATTTCCTCGCCCATTATTTCAATATATCTAGTCTTTATAGTTTTTATAGACTTTGACAATGATATTTTTTTTCAATTTTTAAAACAACCTGTGGCTTTTTGAAGGGGATATCCGATAATATTGCATGGTAATCTGAAAAGGGAAAAAGTCTGTAGGTTTGGTTTATCAATTGGATACAAAGGTTTTCAAACCTGTATGGCTCTAACAGTCTTAGATAAATGATTGAAAAATATATTTTCAATGTCAGATGTTAGTAACTTTTCATATTTCAGCAAAAGTCTATTGGAATGGAAGGTGCATTAATAGATACAGAAGGATTTCCTCGGGCTGATATAGACATATATTCAGTGAGGCATGCAAGACAGAAAATAATTTGTAAGTATCTTTTCAGAAAATATTGAAGATAAATTACAACCAGGGGCAGCAAATTATTTGTCTATATTGCATAGGTTGTCCTACAGCCTGCACTGACAACTAAATTTTTCAAGAATTTATTGTATAAATATGTTTCGCATGTAAGATCAAAATGCTTATATCACAGAGTGAACACCAAATGTATTATTGCCATAGATAGCATTAACCACATGTGAAAATTTTACAGCTTGGGTTAGTAGGTGATAGTGAAATTGAATACTTGATTGGTTTTTGGATACATTGTATTAAGACATTTTTAAATCTCTTCAAACTTTCTTTGATTTTAGGCATTTTAATTTTTAATTTACAAACCTTCAGGCTTGCACCTGAAAGAATGATCTGCCCTACATTTCTAATCAGCTAAAAGCAATTTGAAATATTTAAGTAGTGGTTTAGTAGGTATATACTATTACAGTATCGCTTTAATAAATATACTAAGTTTTATTTATATGGACTTTAAAATGCCATGAAACTAAATCATTTGCTTTGTGTACATATTTTCTGGTCAGAACTTAAGCAATTTCATGACTCCTATCTATATAAATAGTGTTATGTTTGAGTGGTATGACTTCAGGTTTACAGAATGATCATAAAGCATTAATGGATGAGATTGAGGAAGAGTTATATAGGATCCATGCAGAGGCCAGACTAGCATCACAGGGAACCACACAGCAGGAACCAGCCCATGTACAGGAAGTAAAGGAAATAATTATCAGGGAACCAATCGGAACTGTAATGAGTGTTGACGAAGGCTCACCTGCTGAACTGGCTGTAAGTATTGGTCCAAATTTTGTTTGGTCTAAAAATAGTTCCAAATCAGATTCTTGTTTGAATCCTTATTTATATCTCTCTAAATTTACTAATATTTAGGATTCACTATTAATTTTTCAAAACATGTTATTATAAAAAACATTTCTATATTTAAGATTCTGAGACGTTCATGGCCGAGTGGTTAAAGTCGTTGACTTCAAACCACTTGCCCCTCACCTCTATGGGTTCGAATCCAGACAGGGACTTTGAATTCTTTCATGTGAGGAAGCTATCCAGCTAGCTTATGAAACATCGGTGTAATAGTCAGGTGCCCGCATGTGCCTGAAATAAAGCTCGGAAGGGCACCTTAGGTCTTCTTCCACCACTAAAGCGGGAACGTCGCCATATGACCTATACTGTCGGTGTGACGTAAAACCCAATCAAACAAACAAACAAAAATTTAGATTCTTTACACTCTTGTGTTACTGTAGTTGAAGTCTCACTTTCTTATGTGTTGCCCTTTTACATAATACCTCTCCAAGTTATTTTAAAATACTTAAAGTGACATTATGCCTATGGATCTAAGGGTATATAATTAGTGAGCTGGTTAAAGTCAATATAAATTCATTTTGCCATAATTCCTTTCAATATGATAACTAATAACACATGTCCTCCAAGGTAATTTCTGTAAACATCCATCAGAATTTACCTGAAATATTTAGTTTATTAGAAAGAAGGACAGTCTGCTTATATTTTAGTAAGATTTGTATTTTACTCGAAGCATTTTCAAAATCAGTTCAGCTCAACTGAAAAATGAAAAAAATGATAATGTCACTTTAATGTAAAATGCGAAAGTCTGTCGGTCCTCGGACCTCGCAAACTAAAAATCAGGAGGGCCGAGATAAATTTCGATACAGTCAGTCCTCATGTCTGAATAAAATTTCAGCCAGTTTGAAACAACTTTTGGCCTTCTTAGGCCAAAAGATCAATTTTTATGCCCCCACATAGTGGGAGCATATAGCGTTGCACTTGTCCGTCCGTATGTCTGTCCGTCCGTCCGTCCCAAAATCTTGTGAACGCAACTCCTCTTAAACCGGATGGCAGATTTTGCTTAAACTTTCAGGGATGATCAACCTTAATGTGTAGATGGTAGTAAAGGAAGGAATTTTCGCTGTGACCAAATTTAACTGAATTATGGCCCTTTGTTGATTTTTTTCACCATATACCATATAGAAATTTGTGAACGCAACTCCTCTTAAACCGGATGGCAGATTTTGCTAAAACTTCCAGAGATGAACAACCTTAATGTGTAGATGGTAGTAAAGGAAGGAATTTTTGCTGTGACCAAATTTAACTGAATTATGGCCCATTGTTGATTTTTTCACTATATACCACATAGAAATTTTGTGAACGCAACTCCTCTTAAACCGGATGGCATATTTTGCTTAAACTTTCAGGGATGATCAACCTTAATGTGTAGATGGTAGTAAAGGAAGGAATTTTCGCTGTGACCAAATTTAACAGAATTATGGCCCTTTGTTGATTTTTTCACTATATACTATGTAGAAATTTTGTGAATGCAACTCCTCTTAAACCGGATGGCAGATTTTGCTTAAACTTCCAGGGATGAACAACCTTAATGTGTAGATGGTAGTAAAGGAAGGAATTTTTGCTGCGACCAAATTTAACAGAATTATGGCCCTTTGTTGATTTTTTCACTATATACTATGTAGAAATTTTGTGAATGCAACTCCTCTTAAACCTGATGGCAGATTTTGCTTTAACTTCCAGGGATGAACAACCTTAATCTGTAGATGGTAGTAAACGAAGGAATTTTTGCTGCGACCAAATTTAATAGAATTATGGCCCTTTGTTGATTTTTTCACTATATACCATATATAAGTTGTCAGTGGGGGCATCCGTGTCCTTTGGACACAGTTCTAGTTTTTTTCATTTTTGCTTGTATTCACAGACCCAGATAACCAAAATCACCGCAAGATACAACCAGTTTTTGCTAAGTAATGTAAGCCACCATCTTGTCTTGGATAATTTCCTTACCAAAACATATTTTTTCTCCAATCTTCAAAAGTAAACTTTTGAAAGATGTATTGTTTTCTTATGAATTATGCTAATGTTTTATTTATTTTGTTTCTGTGTATTTTTTTCATACAGTAGTATCTTATAGTTGAGTCTGATAATTCATATTTGCTAAATATTTTTGTTTATAATTTTGGCAATATCCCTCCCCCACCCCTACAAAAAAAATAGTTTTCAGAGTCCGGGCCGGGAATAAATCATCAGGGCCGAAAATAAACCTAAGGATCCCAGTCCTTGTGGCCGGAAGAAAATTTTGACTTTCGCATTGACTGCATAATGTTGTGTTTTTTTTAGTTTTTTTCTTTCCTACTCAATTATCATTTGTTTATGTAGCTTCAACTAAACGTATTTGATTTTTAAACACAGCAGATTTCCTTTGATATTTTGTGCAGATGTCACTATAGCCTACAGATTTTCTATTTTCTATTCAGGGTCTAAAAGTTGGTGATTCAGTGGTGCAATTTGGCTCATTAACTGCTGAAAACTTCCAAGGACTACAAAATATTGCAACAGTTGTTCAACATAGTATTGATGTAAGTATATCTACATTGTTTATATTGATGTATTCACCAAATGATATTGTAATGATAAGAACCTATTTTTGTAATGCATATCGTCTTTTGAACAGATATTCAATGTTTACAGGTGCATGCCTCCAGATGAACCAAAATATTTAGTGACACTCAAACTTGGGGAAAATGCACTAAGATTGTTAGAAAAGTAAAAATATTGAAGTTGTAATTAAATATCTCATGTGCAATTTATGACCGAGTTTGTGATATTTATCACCATATTTCTACTGCATTACTAATGCAGTAGAGACTATTTTTGCATATTTTGACCTCTTTTTGATAATTAACATGGATTGTTAGTGCCATTTGCAATGTATAAATTACTGCATTTGTTGACCATACAATATTTGACTTATAAATACATTTTGAAAATTTTCATGAAAATTAGGTTGAATCAGGAAGGGTGCTGCTTTAAGGATTTCAGTATTAAAAAACAAAAATTGAGCCGCTAAAAGTACAAAACCTTTTCAAAGTGCATGTAATGTGCCGGCTGAGGTTGCTCTATACTGGCAAGCTAGTCACTTCGTTCTTGAAGTTAAGATTTGTGTGAAGATATTTCAGAAATTCTCCCTGGGTTTTATTTAGGGGTGTCACAGTTAGAAAAAATACTTTCCGTTTAAACAGCGACTTAATAACCGTGTTTAACGTACTAATAAAATCTTTAGATTTTTAACATTAACTTTGTTTCTTTACGACAATATATGAGTGACATTCTGTTTTTATTTTGTTGTACTCAAAATGATTATTATACGTATCCGTTACATATATGTAGTAACTATTTTTCCTTTAGCGTCTTACCGTATCCGATCAGATAAAAAATAAATACATTGTTTAGTAAAACTAATATACAAACAAATAGTCATATCTTGTTATAAAACTAACGTAATATTTAAAATCAATTCAAAACTTTTTCAAGAACTCACCTCGGTTATCGGTTATTCAATTTTCTAACAGGATTTTTAGCTAAAAACCGACTGTTCTCGTTTACACAGAAAAACGTTACACCCCTAGTTTTATTTACATGAAATCATGTTAAATCAGGATGTTTGCTTTCAATATTTCAGAAAGCTCTCCCAGTGGCTGTTGTTCGGGATAGTTTAGGTGAAATTATGTTGTTACTGGTGCCTAAAAGATGGAAACCTGATAAAGGGCTATTAGGGTAGGTATTGTTCAACTGAATCTATTCCTGCAACCAGTGCAGACTAAGATCTGCCTTCAGGTTATGGCCTGCACTGTTAGCTATTCAGTCAGTAAATATTTTGATTTTCCCCCTTAAAACGGCGAATAGTTTAGTCCAGATTGAAAGATAAGACAAGTCCATTTATGATATTTAGGGTTGATAATGCTGTCAGATGTGAAGTTTTCACAGGCGTGGCAAGATTCATAACTTGCTACTTGCCAATTACCCCTTAACCCTATGAATTTCTTGAATGGACTTGTCCAGTTTCCGTCTTTGGAACTTTACATTATCGATTTTGTGGATATCAAGATGAAAATTTAAAGTTGGTCAGCTAACAGTAAAGAGCCTGGTCAGACTGCATGGATGTTTGCTGGCCTGGATCTATACTATAACTTAAGCTAAATCACTGTTGGTTCCAGCATGGTGAAAGTTAAAATCCAACTTGCCAAAGCTTCAAAATTTTCTTCCTAGACAGCTGGTACAAATAATTTAACCATCATAGACTTTGAATGTATGTACATGTTGAAATTATCTGAGTCAAGATTGAAATGTGGATTTAATTCATAGTCATTAATCTCATTGTGTTAAATATTTATCTTTTAAGCTGATTATCAAACAACATTCGTTTTTAGCCCACCTGACATCTTTAATGGCTTCAACATAGTAAGATAAAAATTGTGACCTTTTCAAGCAAAGTATTTAGGTGAGCGATCCAGGGCCATGATGGTCTAAAGCCATCTTGGCTCTCTTGTTCTTGAAGCCAATATTGAATTTTCTTGTTTCATTTTGAATTAAATTTTCTACTTTTCTTCCAGGTGTAATATTAAACCAGTGACATCCAGCCGGTAATGTGGTATTGTATGATACCTTTCGAAGAGGAAGACCATGTGCAAGCTTCAAGTTTCCCGGCACAGATCGGTATGGCAAAAAAACTGCCTCTGAGTGAGGCTTTGATGGACACAGAGTAATTAATGTTCATAACTAAACTTCACAAAAAGGTGGAACTTTTTGTTGTTAATAATATTACTATTTGTTTAAATATAAAAAACATTGTAGGTAATAAATCTGTTATAAATATGATGATCCTCGTGGTGAACACTGGTTAAAAGTCACAGGATTTATGGCATGTTACTCATGTATCTTCCGTACTTTTTGTATGAATATGCACTTGTAATTATGAGCTTTTAACTGGATTTAACACCTTCATTACCTTTGAATGACAAACCAAGACACAAAATTTTTATCGGTTATAGACAACTAAATTTTGATTTTTATCAGATGACCTTGCTTGTTTTCTTTGTGAAATAAGTATTACATACATCTTTATAATACACAAGTGCAATATAACATAATTGTGGTGTCAATTTTGCTTATACATTTCAAGAAAAACTGTGTAAATGTCAAAGTAAGTTCATTTTCATAAATTTAAAGGCGTTAACTCGTTTCATAAATAGAATCTCACAATGCTTGTCATATAATATAAAATTTTATCAAACTTGACCAAGAAAACATTATTAACAAACTTATTTTCTAGGAATAGTTTAATAGTATTTGATATTTTATGGACACTATTGTGAGATCCAATATTCATCCATTATTTCTTATAAACACAAGGTAAAGTTACTTAATTCTGTGGTTAAAGTGTTGTTATTTGGTCAAGAAATAAAATTGTAATACCAAGAACAAGTTTGTTTCTTGATTTCTTTGTTGTTGTTTTTGTCATTTCTTAAAATCTGATATGATAAGGGGTCTCCATTCAGGTTTTTTGATATTCATGATGGGACTGGAAATGTTTTTTTCTAGATTTCTGTACCATTTGTAGATCTATACAATTCAGATTATTGGTTCACTCAGTTTTTCTAGAACAATTTTTTTAGCTCACCTGTCACAAAGTGACAGGGTGAGCTTTTGTGATCGCTTTTCGTCCGGCGTCCGTCCGTCGTCCGTCCGTCCGTCCGTAAACTTTAACTTGAAATGACATCTCCTCATAAACCACTAAGCCAATTTCATCCAAACTTCACAGGAATGTTCCTTTGGTGGTCACCTTTGAAAATTGTTCAAAGAATTTAATTCCATGCAGAACTCTGGTTGCCATGGCAACCGAAAGAAAAAACTTTAAATATCTTCTTTTAAAAAACCATAAGAGCTAGAGCTTAGATATTTGGCATGAAACATCTTCTAGTGAGTGTCTACCAAGTTTGTTCAAATAAAAGCCCTGGGATCAAAATTGGCCCCGCCCCGGGGGTCATTGATTTTCCCTATATGCATATAGTAAAAACTTAAAAAATCTTCTTTTAAAGAACCAAAAGAGCTAGAGCTAAGATATTTAGCATGAAACATGTTCTAATGGGTGTCTACCAAGTTTGTTCAAATAAAAGCCCTGGGGTCAAAATTGGCCCCGCCCCAGGGGGTCATTGATTTTCCCTATATGCATAGAGTAAAAACTTAAAAAATCTTCTTTTAAAGAACTCAAAGAGCTATGGCTAAGATATTGAGCATCAAACATGTTCTAATAGGTGTCTACCAAGTTTGTTCAAATAAAAGCCCTGGGGTCAAAATTGCCAGGGGGTCATTGATTTTCCCTATATGCATATAGTAAAAACTTAAAAAATCTTCTTTTAAAGAACCAAAAGAGTTAGAGCTAAGATATTTAGCATGAAACATGTTCTAATAAGTGTCTACCAAGTTTGTTCAAATAAAGCCCTGGGGTCAAAATTGGCCCCACCCCGGGGGGTCATTGATTTTCCCTATATGCATATAGTAAAAACTTAAAAATCTTCTTTTAAAGAACTCAAAGAGCTATGGCTAAGATATTTAGCGTCAAACATGTTCTAATAGGTGTCTACCAAGTTTGTTCAAATAAAAGCCCTGGGGTCAAAATTGGCCCCGCCCCGGGGGTCATTGATTTTCTTTATATGTGTATAGCAAAAACTTAAAATCTTCTTTGAAAAAACCCAAATAGCTAGAGTTTAGATATTAAGCATGAAACATCTTCTAGTAAGTGTCTACAAAGTTTGTTCAAATAAAAGCCCTGGGGTCATTGGTTTTCCTTATATGTGTATAGCAAAAACTTAAAAAATCTTCTTTGAAAAAACCCAAATAGCTAGAGTTAAGATATTAAGCATGAAACATCTTTTAGTGAGTGTCTACAAAGTTTGTTCAAATAAAAGACCTGGGGTCAAAATTGGCCCCGCCCCGGGGGTCATTGATTTTCTTTATATGTGTATAGCAAAAACTTAAAATCTTCTTTGAAAAAACCCAAATAGCTAGAGTTTAGATATTAAGCATGAAACATCTTCTAGTAAGTGTCTACAAAGTTTGTTCAAATAAAAGCCCTGGGGTCAAAATTGGCCCCGCCCCGGGGGTCATTGATTTTCCTTATATGTGTATAGTAAAAACTTAAAAAAAAAATCTTCTTTTAAAAAGCCCAATGAGCTAGAGCTTAGATGTTTAGCATGAAACATCTTCTTATGGGTGTCTACCAAGTTTGTGCAAATAAAAGCCCTTGGGGTTAAATTGTCCCTGCAACGTTGGGGGGGGGGGGGGGGTTGGAGGGGCCTATATACAGGTGAGCGACCTCAGGGCCATCATGGCCCTCTTGTTATTTGTTTGGGTCGTCAGACCAAACAAATAATGGTAGCGAAATTTCAGAGCCTAATGCTGTTAATTGCAAATGCCTAAAGTAGTCCACTTTTTTGAAGCGGTTACTTCCCTTTATATGTACACTAATGCCGAAAAATTCAGGGGAGATCAATGCGTAAAGATTGTCAAATGACAGGCGCATTAATTTTCAAGCAAAGTAGTTCCCGAATGGTCGAAGATTTCTAATACTGTTTCATTCTTTATAGATAAACATGCTTACAGTAAGCTCCATGATTATTTACATCTGTGTTTAGCGTTGAAATAATAAGAGTTACAAACCCTAATTTAGAATATTATGGTTTTCTTCAGGCTTTTAACATATAACTTCACCGTGGTCGAGGGGTTTGCACACTCGCTTATGAATTGAGAGGTCTCGAGTTCAAATCCCAGTTGAGGCAAATAAGTCAAATAAGCATTGAATTGACTATCAGTGTTGCAATTAGTCTTATAGCCAATTTACTACAGTTAAAACACTGGAAAGCATTGGTGGCACTATACAAAAACAAATTGGTTTATAATCTCACAACCTTCACCTTTCTGACATTCTGAGACCCAAACAAATTCAGCGCCTTCTGTGCTTTGATTTAATGTGCAAATGTCCAATAAACGAAGTCTTGTAATGCTTTTAACTTAAATTGGGAATAGAACTGCATAAAACAAAACTTTTTAAATTTGGTTTTCAACCACCTGATAACACATTGTTTTGGTATTATCTTGGCTGAAATCCACCTCAATGGCTTTCCTGGACAATTAAAATCCAGTACATCTCGACAAGTGGCTGGCTACTATTCCCACATGATTTCTGAGTTAGGAATGCGTGACAAATTGGCCATGTGAGCCTGGATCAAATCAGATAAATAAGCCATGTGTGCCTGGATCAAAACAGATAAATTAGCCATGTGCGCTGGATCAACAGATAAATTAGCCATGTGCACCTGGATCAAACCAGAGAAATTAGCCATGTGCGCCTGAATCAAACCAAAGAAATTAGCCATGTGCGCCTGGATCAAACCAGAGAAAATTAGCCATGTGCACCTGAATCAAACCAAAGAAATTAGCCATGTGCGCCTGGATCAAACCAGAGAAAATTAGCCATGTGCACCTGGATCAAACCAGCAACCTCTGGATTACTAATCCATTGCTTTCCTTTGTTGAGCTAAGTGGGTGTAGACCAAAGTAGGACAGACAGGGCAAAAAAGTTGTAGTTCAGAAAAAGGTAAAATATATAATGCTCATGATGAAGATATTGCTTTAAAATGATGAAAAGAAAAAAAACAGTACAGAAAATGTTGTTTTAGCTATTTTATTGACTAGCATTTATATCACTAAATTTTAACAATTTCATAACTGATGATTCATTCATAAATTTATCAAAACAATTTTCATGATTATATCATTAAATCAGAACTAATTTAATCATCTCCTACTACATCTAAATTGAATACAACTTCCTTTCTAACTTCATGATTAAATAACCAGAATCTATATTTTGCAGCATGCACTTAAAACAGTTTATTCATACTTGAAACCAAAATTAATTGCACTAAAAAACAACACGGTTACAAGCTATTTTAAATGCCACTGATGAACATTATCATATGCCACTGATAAACAATATCCTATGCTACTGATAAACAATATCATATGCCACTGGTGAACAATTTCTTATGCCAATGATAAACAATATCATATGCCACTGATAAACCAGTTCATATGCCACTGATAAACCAGTTCATATGCCACTGATAAACAATATCATATGCCACTGATAAACCAGTTCATATGCCACTGATGAACATTATCATGTGCCACTGATGAACAATATCATATGATAATTATAAATGTAACACTTTTTTTAAAACATATCTCAAACAGAAATAGGCCATGATGCAACTAAAATAAAGCATGTCAGTTTGCCTAACTGTGCAGTATCAAGAAATTCTAGACTCTTGACTGCTCATCTTTACTTTTTTTATCTATAAACTCCATAAAATAAAAATAAATACTTGTAATTTGACTTAATTCAAAGCAGGGCAAAGAAATGACATCAGGTGCCATACAGAAATAAAATCAAATACCTTAGATTATCTTATTAAATTAATACAAGAACAGTTACACATTTTTACAAAAAGGTCTTGCCAATAAATGTAAACATCATGGTGTAAGCATGTCATAGCGCTGTAACTAATACAACCCTTAACCTGGTTGATTTGTGTAATGGAATCTGCATGATCCCTTATTATAATGAATAATATTTAAATATCCAATTGAAGTCATTTTAAGCGGAGTTGACTGTACAACAATTTGGCTACAAGCAGTAAAGAGCACAGATGACCTGTCGCACTGACGGATAAGCTGACTGACCTGGCTCCATATATTCTAAGCATTTAAAGGGTTAATATGTTCTGAATCTAGTATTTTGAGATTTTGCAATCTTCATTGCTATATTAAAATTATAAATTCATTCACAAATCAATACAAGGTACAATCATTCTTCAAAAGTTGAGTATTTTGGAAAAAAAGACCTGAATTTTTAAATGTCTGCATGAGATTTACTGTATTAATTCTTATGAATGCTCCCTGTTGAAGAATAATCACTCATAGTTTATTTTATCACTCAATACCAAAGGGTACTAGAAAATATGAAATAATTCTGTAATATAAATATCCAAGGTATAGAAAATAATTATGTAAAACAATGTCTGTATTATCTTCATTAAACATCCATAAGTCAGTTCCGTAACATACTTGCAAAAAGAAATGTTTGTTTGTTTGTTTCATTTTACGCCTTTTTCCAACAGTATTTCAGTCATATAGGCGGGTAGTTTCCTAGCCATCGTTCCTGGAGAGTTACACCAGTACTAAACTACCTTCCTCCGCGCTAAACTACTAAAGCATCTCCCGGGGATCGAACCCACGCCAGAGAGGTACTTGGATTAGAAGTCATCGACTCTAACTCCTTGACCACAGAGGGGTATGAAACACTGTAGTAATTATAAGGTGCTTTGGTCATTATTAGGAATAATTACAGTGTAACTTGCAAGCTTATTTTATCTTTACTAATGGCATTTTTTTCAAATGTTTCATCTAAATTTTAGACTTGAATTGTCAGTGAATACGGCTTGGGTTTAAAATCAATTGGTTTTTATTTGAAACTCAAAAGGCAAGAGGACTTGACATAAAATAATCAATTGTCAAATATGGTTTTATTTCTTAATCTTTAATATGGTTAAAACTGTGAAAGTCTATTAATTAATGCTATTTTCATACAAAACATAAATATAGAATAATTGAAAAAATAGGTATACAATACAACAAAACAGACAGATTAAATTACTTAATTACCTCAAGAATGAAACTAGAGATCTGGTATGACATCTTAATAACACTTAAAGCTACACTCTTTCAGATGAGCAAAACAAAAATCATTTAAAAATAAAAATTTCATAATATTAAAGTACAAATATTTTGAATCCAAAAAATTTATATGCCAATTTGTGTAAGCTGTGGCTGAATTTCAAATTTGTAATACTTTTATTTCTACTCAGACTTTAATGGAGTACAGGGCTGATTTTTTCATCATAATTTAACCTATTTTCAGTACTCCACTTTAGGAAATATTACAAGCAAGTTTTTTTCTGCACATGTTCTAAATATTATGTTAAAATTAGTATGAAACTGTAAGCATGCTACAGTACTCTAACAAACAATTCGAAAAATGATCAAACATGAATAATGACAATATTTTACATAATTCATTGATTAATACACAATTTAATGACTTACAAAAGATTTAAACAAACAACAATGAATATTTTTGAACAACAGAGGACCCCTATGTAATGAGCGCTACAATTTGAGGCTTAACGACTAAAATTCCTTCATAAATGGACAATCATTACTTAACAAAGAATTAAAAACACTTAAGTACGTATACAGAGAAATCTCTCAAGAATTCTTGATTAACAAAAGGTTACAATGAAGATCTAGTATGGCGAGATAAAGGATTAACAAATTTGTACATGCATTAATGAAGAAAAATTTTGTCTTGTCTATTACATGAAAAGATTGAATTCTATATCTCTAAAGTAGTTAATTTTTCATTTAGTAGTCTAAGAGTTTAGCTGTGTATACAAGTGAATATAAGTGTTAAAATGGCCATTATCAAGGCTGTGAACAAAATGTAATACAAAAATGTAATTTTCTTATAAAAAATTCAACTGCATGTGTTGAAAATTTACTTAGTAGGCTATACATTCAAAGAATGCATCTATAACAGGCTTAACTGACAAGAAAGTCCAGTTTGGGAATACATGTAAAGAAAAACAATGATCTTTTTTTACTGTTTGTAGGTGTCTAACATTTTTACAGCATTTAGCAATTTCACAATATCAATTATCGAAACCAGAACTAAAATCTTGACCTTATGAAAACAGGTTTGTCTAGAAATGGACTTTATTGGGAGGTGACTATTTTTTACAGTGTTGACTTACACTCTCTATGGCATAAAAACTTTTCGTAATGGCAGTCATTATTCAATCTGTGATTACAATTCGTTTGATAATAATGTTTAACAAAATATCATTACAAAAACCAAAAACGTATCATAGTCTTGCACATTATTTACAAACAAACAAAATAAATTCCTGATGTGTACTTCACATGAAATGACTATCAAAGAAATATTTACAAAGAATAATAATTTAAATTGAAATTTTGAAAATCACATACATGCATGATTAATCCACTTTTTTTTCAAGTAAATTTAGGTAGAAGTATAAAAAGTAACACTTTAAAAGGAAATACATATAAATTATATATTTTAAACCCTGATAAAAGTTATCAAAATATTAGTGTAACTTAAAGACGATGTTAAAAGTGTTGATAAAATTTATAAACCTTCATACTTTCAAAATTTAAAAGACTGCCAGCATGATAAAAAGACAGTGAACCCATTAACATTGTTTTTCAAATCGTGTCAAAAGATGTTTGAAATGTCTTAATGAAAATCTGAATTACCCTTGAGATATTGAAAATAAGTATATATAGGTAAGAAAAAGCAGATTTTTTTCATTTCAAGAATTGAATACTTGCATTTTTTAAGTAAATAAAGTTCAAGGTTGTTTTCTCATGCCGGCAGTCAAACTATGTTAAAAAGTTTTATAAAAAGTTTTTAAAAACTTAACAGATTTGAAACTGACTTTTCTACTTATACTGTATTATACATACACCTTTACCATATAAAAATCTTTTTTCTCTTTCGAGTATAAAAGGTGCATTTTTAGAAATATATGGGTGAAAGCTTACATGTGTGCATGCAGGTTTTTCTATAAGTGTTTTTTTTTAAGAAAGATAAAAAAGTTTATACTTTGTCATTTAAGTTGAACCTAATACTGGACAAGTAATAATTTATTATAATACTTAGCACAGTAAAATTTCAGAAAATAATTTCTGTGTTAAGATATCCTTGTCATTCATAAGCATTCAAATATAAACAGTTCCGAACTTCAAATCAATAAAAGATAATAGTGATTTACCTAATAAATTTTATCACACACACAAGACAGCTTACAGTCTTGACTTAGTAATTTTCAAACTAAATGCTCCTGCTGAACAGGTACGATGTGAATTGAGGAGAAAAGCTACATTGTAAGTGCTCCTACAGATCAGCTAATAAATAGGTCAGTGAATTATTTATCGGCTTAATTAAAGTAGTGGTCAATCTAAAAGAAAGAAGTGCATGGAGTTAACCATTTAAGCATATGGTTTTCAGACTGGTCACATTTTGTTAGTCTTTTATATTTTATATTAGAGCTGCAATGGTTCAGGTGCGGTTCACTTCAGATAAGATTTCAGTTAATTATAACGTTCTCGATTATCAAATATTCGATTCAAATTTTTACATTATACTTTTAATGATCTAGACATTTTTTCCAGATCTGACTTGGATGAATTAACTTGAACAAGTTATTTTGCTGTTGTAACAAACTATTGTATGATTAATGCTTGCATTGAATATTAACTATAATTAATAATAAATGACTAAATCCAAAATCTGATAATTGATTCAAAGAAGTGTATAGATCCGAACTTCAGTGAACCATTGCATCCCTAATTTATATAGATTTAAGGGAGATAACTTACCTAAAAAACACATAACAAAGTGATACGCTGAACTTGTGTTTATAAAAGTCATTTTTATATAAAAAAAAGTCAATACATTCCATAGCTATCTATATAATTATATATATTTCTATAACTATTAAAAACAACATATCAGTCATGTTTTTCCAGCTCTTTTCATTATATATGTTATCATGGCTGTATAAAAATACTTTTCTTTGCCTTAAATAAAGTTCAACCTATCAAATTCTAGTGTGTAAATCCTATAATGTATTTTGTATCTAGAATGAAAAAAAAAGAACAAGATTTTAAATAACAAATAGTATTTGTAATACATATTCTCTTGTTTAGTATATGTGTATAAAGAATTATGGATACATTTGAATATAATGACTGACAAATGCAGAAACGTCATCTAATTTTGATCTGATTAATTTAGTTACTAAACTTATATTTGTGATTGTGTAACCACAACATGTATTACCTCCCCTGGTTGCCATTATCACAAATATATTGTATGCTCAAGACCAGATAACAAAATCTCCTACAATTCTTAAAAGTTAATTTTGTGCTATAATAATTTTTTGGTATTATTTTAAAGTTATCTAACAGTTCATTTAAATAATCTGTTTATAGCACTTATATTTATATTGTATTTATATTTATATTGTATTTATATTTTATATTCAGTCAGTTTAAATGCTGCTACTTTTGCCAAGGGAGCTAAATATTGTACATATGAACCATTTACATGTATAAGTTAATATTGAAGAAATATTCGATATATTTCATCATTTTTCAATTTATGTAATTATGGACACAAACGTTCCTCAGACATATATTTGCTACTTTTTAATAAAATGCTTGGTTGCTGGAAATCTACTTTTATTAATCTCCAAAACAGTTTCTGATAAAAATATTTTTCACCCAAATAATAATAATAATTTGAAGAAATTTGAATCTTGCTTAAAAAAACAAGATTGCATTTGAGAAAAATGCTATGCCACCGCATTAATACCTAAGCTCTAGGCCTTTTGGGCATTTACAAGAAGGTATTTTAAGTTTTTGAAGCCTTGTACCTTGTACCTACAGACAATAAGATTTTTTTATTTTTTACTATATGTATATATTGAAAATCAATGGCCCCCAGGGGCGGGGGCAATTTTGACCCCAGGGCTATAATTTGAACAATCTTGCTAGAGGTTCACTACACAATTTTTCATGCAAAATATCTAACCTCTAGCATTTGTCAATTGCTAGAAGAAATTTTTTTAAAGTTTTTACTATATACATATAACGAAAACCAATGACCCCCGGGGCAGGGCTGATTTTGACCCCAGGGCTATAATTTGAACAATCTGGGTAGAGGTCTACAACACAATGCCTTATGCTCTAGGCCTTTTGGGTCTTTACAAGTAGGTATTTAAAGTTTTTACTATATGTACATATAGTGAGAATCAATGACCCCCGGGGCGGGGCCGATTTTGACCCTAGGGCTATAATTTGAATAATCTTGGTAGAGGTCTACCAGGCAATGCCGTATGCAAAATATCTTAGCTCTAGGCTATTTGGGTCTTTACAATAAGGTATTTTAAGTTTTTACTATATGTACATATAGTGAAAATCAATGACCCCGGGGCAGGGCCGATTTTGACCCCAGGGCTATAATTTGAACAATCTTGGTAGAGGTCTACCAGACAATGCCTTATGCAAAATATCTAAGCTCTAGGCCTTTTGGGTCTTTACAAGAAGATTTTTTAAATTTATTCTTATAATTCCTTTTGGTTGCCATGGCAACCAGATTTCTGCATGGAATGAAATTCTTTGAACAACTTTGGAAGCCCTTCACCCAAGGATCAATCCTGCCAAGTTTGGTTGAAATTGGACTATTGGTTTTTCACAAGAAGATTTTTTACGTTCGCTATATAATCTATATAACAATGACCCGGGGCGGGGCCTATTTTGACCCCAGGGCTATAATTTGAACAATGTTGGTAGAGGTCTACCAGACAATGCCTTATGCAAAATATCTAAGCTCTAGGCTATTTGGGTCTTAACAATAAGGTATTTTAAGTTTTTACTATATGTACATATAGTGAAAATCAATGACCCCGGGGCGGGGCTGATTTTGACCCCAGGGCTATAATTTGAACAATCTTGGTAGAGGTCTACCAGACAATGCCTTATGCAAAATATCTAAGTTCTAGGCCTTTTGGGTCTTTACAAGAAGATTTTTTAAATTTGTTCTTATAATTCCTTTTGGTTGCCATGGCAACCAGATTTCTGCATGGAATGAAATTCTTTGAACAACTTTGGAAGCCCTTCACCCAAGGATCAATCCTGCCAAGTTTGGTTGAAATTGGACTACTGGTTTTTCACAAGAAGATTTTTGAAGTTCACTATATAATCTATATAACACACACACACACACACACACACACACAAACAAACACACACACACACAGGTGAATCGCTATATGCCACCGCATCGCAGATGCTGCGGTGGCATAAAAACAACAATCTAACACTTTACCATAATGACAAACTGGAGTTTAAAAAAAGCCCTGAAATCATAGTATGTACATCATCAACAACAAAAAATCACTAAATTTTAATATAAAATTGTAAATGAGACAGAATGTTTAAAATTTATACCAGTAAAATGTCATGGTGTAGTTTAGTAGAATCTAAAACCTAATACAAATAAAAAAAGAGGGAAAGGGATGGCGGGAACAGTCTGATAAAAAAAACCAATATAAAACTGCTAAAACATTTAACCTATTTACAAACATGGTACAATATGGAAGTCAAGGATTGCTCTAAAAACAGGACACAACAAGTAATGCTGACACCTCAATAAAAAACAAATTCGTGCTGCAATAGTACGAAATGATTATAAATGTAAAACAAAATCTTTGGTTTTAAAATATAATAATAATCTCTAAACAAAATAACAATCAAACACAATAATGCCTTTTTATAAATGAGGATAGAACTTGGTCATTATTGACAAATATTTTATACCTAAGTTTCGAAAAATACATGTCTAAAATGTCACCTTAGTGCAGTAACGGGTTAACTCCTTATGTAATATAATAGGAGTTAACTCGTTACTACACTAAGGTGTCAATATCAGAAACAGATTTTCATCTACCAAATGTAACATTTAATTTCTTATTACTTTATAAAATACTCTTCGGCAAAATACAATCTCCTACTAATACTTAAACAGATTCTAACATTATTCCTAAAGTGTTTTTAGTACATCATTTAATGGAAAGGTATAACAATATATGTGTGTGGATGTTTGAATGGAATTTTTTATCTTTTATCACAGAAACAGCTGGTTGCTATAGTAACATTATCTTTTGCCTACATTAACATTGACTGAGACATCATCTATCTGTCTGGTACAGCCTGTCAAACGCCACAACTGTATCTCCTTCGTCACCAGTCGTATCAAAAACTGTAATATACAAACATATTGTTTTTTACATAAAGGCCCATTAAGTCTTGAAAAAAAGCCAAATCATAAATGCCCATTTTGCTTTTTTTTGCGGTTTGGCAAATAGTACAGTTATAGATATTTATCGCAAATGTTCTTAACTCATGATAACATGTAACAAAATCATTATAAAAACAGTGTTTGCCCCTTTCTACAGAAGAAATAATTCATTAATTTCTGAGGCCTAATTTGCCTTTAAAATTTGTAATTTTCCATTTTATTTTTTAAGAAACAATGAGGGATGAGGTGGCACAGTTGTTCAAGACTCTGCCTCTCAATGCAGGGACTATACAAGAGCTAGCAGGCTGGACATGAGAGTCCTTTAAATAAGCTTAAAGCTAAAATCATCCTAAAATAATTTTAGTTATTACAGACAAAAAGAATATACAGTATACATACTGATGTATACAAACTGATGTAATGTTCTTACATACACAGACTACACAAGATTAGTTGTTGTTAATTAATGCCTGTAAACTGACTCTGCTATAGGGACATTAAATTATTGCATACCTCCCTGGCTTAAAGTAAGCTGGTAGTTATATTATCACATATATATATAGTTATATTATATTATGCCTGATTGATTTAAATAAAGGCCTTTTAGTGATCTTCCTCCACAATTAAAAGACAGAAAAGTCAACTCAAAGCAAAAGATATAGAAAATATACATACCACCATGGCTAAACCATCGGCAGCTATTAACATCCAGAATACATTGTTCCAGCCGGTCGGTGATATAACACCTGTCAACAGAGGTCCGATAGCAGCTCCTGTATGTATACAAATACATATCATATATCAAAGGATATCACTGACCAGATAGTTTTGAGAGAATCAATCAATCTAAAACAGATCTAAATTCTGAGATGGTTTATATACTGCTCTCAGGAAAAATTTTTGCTGCATTGTTTGTACTTAACCCTTACCACGCTAATTATCTTAAATGGACTGGTCCATCTTTCGATCTGGACAAAAACTTTCATCATATTTCGGGAAAATTTAAAAATATAAAATATGTACTAACTGAATAGTTAACAGTGAAGATTATAATCTGAAGGCACTGGTGTGTTGGCTTATCTTAATCTGCACTGATTGCACAGATATCCTCGATTCAGTTGCCGCTGGCAGTATAGAAGTTAATAGCAATGAAAAGGGATGAGATTGTCTTGCATTAAGTTAAGGTGACTGCCTCTCACCCTACAGACAGTGTGGTCAAGTATTACTTGTGTCAAAATCCTCCCATTTCACACAAGTACTTGCAAGAGCCAGGCAGCTGACTGGAGAGTTCTTGTCATGAACTTTAAACCATTTTCACAAGCAATATTAAATATCTTTAAACTATGAAATTATTCAAAATAACATTATTTTATCATTTAAACAAAACAAGTAATGAAAAACCTTACCTATACTGCCTGTGCCATCAATGATAGCCGTGACTGAGGCGAGAGCCCTCGAGTTGCCCTTCAGACTCTTGTGTGTGCCTAGATCAGCACTTACAGCTGTGGTGATCAGAGCATAGGGACCGTTCACAAAGAAACCACAGATCAATAATAAACCTACAAACAGTTAAAATAATCAAGTTAAAATTGCTAGCTTACTATAATTTACTGGTTCCCTTTGTAATATTTGTCACAATAACATTCCTCAAAGAAAAGTATTAGTGAATAACCAAAGCAGTTTTGTTATAACTAACAATGTTTTTTCCAAATTTGGAAATCTACTTTCTTTTTAAATATGCAATAAAAAATAAGACTGTACATCAAATGACAAATTAAACTATACAGGTCTTATATTGATAACAAATCAAGCACGTAAAAGTAGACAAAAATATATAAAAAATTGTTTCAGTAAATAACTTACCAACACTATGAGCATAGTTAATACTTCCATATTCATTGTATAAAAACATCTGAAATACAAAAATAAATCAATAAATAATAATACAGTATTATTGACAGTATTAAAGACTTAAGGTCACATAATAATAATGATAATTATGACTTGCCTATTCCTCCAATATTTTTGCCAAGCCCATGAAGTCTGACCAGGCTCTACATTATTGGCTACTCCATTAATTTTTGATCCCTTTTATCAACAGTGGTCAGGCAAAAAAACAAGCAATTTATTTGATTTTGTACAAATTTGGAGGGTCTAGTTAACAGAAATATAAGACTCGAAGCTCTTAAGCCCGAGTATAACATCTGTGACATCTCCACAGGGCATGGTCATTTAAAATGACCGTCAATTTGTTCTTTCTGTATATAAAGTGTATAATTTTTCATAAAAAAACACAATTTTCTTATTCCATTTGTTTAGTACTTAAAACACCATTTGTCTGATTTTGTGCGGATTTGATTTTGTACAAATTTGGAGGATCTACTTTACAGAAATATAAGATTTTAAGCTCTAGCCCAAGCAAAACATCAATGACATATCTGCATGGCATGGATCTTACCCCACCTTTGTCCATCTTGTCAACTCTAAGTAACTTTTAACTTTTAATATTTTAACACCAGTGGGACTTGGTTTGATCCAGTTTCCATATAAATTTTAAAAATTCCATTTTGGGTCTGTGTTGTTATACAATTTAGCTAAATTTATTCATTTACCATTGGTGCAGCCAATAACAACATGACACAGCATGTTGAAGCACGACCTCGAGTGAAATCAGATATCAAACCAGCAGTTATTCCACCTGAAAATAAAAGTTTAACTTTCTAAACATGATATACAAAAAATTGTAAATTGTTGACATAAATTTTATGATTCATCACTTTATTAAGAATTAGAACTTTGCACTTCTCACGTTAAGTTAACAATTTGCTCAGCAATTGATGATTTTCTACCTTCTTTTTGTTGAAAATTCACTCACACCCACACTATAAAAGTCAAATGGCAACTTTCAAGCTTTAAAAGTGGAGGAAGACCTCAGGTACTCCTTTGTACATTATTCAAGACACAAGCGAGACCTGAGAAGAACCACCAACCTTCCATTAGCTACCTGGACAGCTTCCTAACATTAAAGAAACCGAAGTCTGTAACGAGATTCAAACCAACAGTGCTCATAAAGCAGAAAAGGAGTTTAACCACATGGCCATGAAAGCCCCCTCTTCTTCTTTAAATGGCAGAGGAAACAAAGTGAAGAGATGAATCTATATACTGACTGGCTATGTCACTTGCTTTATAATTTTCTATAAAAAGTTTAAAGAAATACACAATGCTTAGGGTATTAAGGGGCCTATGCCTGATTATTTCAGGGCGTAAGTTTGCACCAGTGTACAATCATTGACTTTCCGTAAGCTAGCTCTATAGCTTATTCTCAAGAGTGAATTCAAAGTCCCTAACAGGATTCAAACTCACAGTGCTCAGTGAGGGCCAAGTAAGTCATCCACATTATCCAATCAGCCACATAAGGCCTTAAAAAAAATTTTTTTAAAAAAGGAAAAAATAAAGAAAATATTCATCGACTTACCCACAATACCTCCTACATCAAACAAGGTTGATAAGTCACCGGCAACTTCAGCATCATAACTAGCTGCAAAGAAAAGTCATGAAAGTTAAAGTACTGTTGAGATTATCAAAATAATATGTGCATTTAATGACTTAACCATAATTATATGCCTGAATTAGTAAAATGGACTTGCCCAGCTCTGAATTTAGAACAGTCAATTGTTTGTTAAAGGGATATCTATAGAATTAAGAGGTTGTTTTTAGTTTTATTTTACTCAGTAAATAAGTGAACATTTGATTTAAACAGTCTAAAATCTGTATCATCTGTTCTGTCGAAATTCAAAAACAAAATAAATCAAAACGGCACAAAAAAAGCATATGACATAAGCAGTAGAGTCTATTTGATCAAATTGTTTCATCACTATCTATAACGATCAATAAATACATGTATACAGTTATATAAGAATCAGCAAAGCTAGACTGAACAACTTTTTGACTTGAATGAGTTATCAACTTGATTGCAGGCAAAAAGCTTTTCTCTTCAATTCCAAGTGTAACCTTCACTTTACTGAATGACCTTCACCTTGGTTTAGATAAGAAGACATAGGACTTAAAAAATCACCAAATATGTTATCTCACAACTTAATTTAGAAACATTCCATCGTACGAGAGAGTTCAGAAAGAGGAATTTCGTGCATTTTTTACCTTAACTAAACATGAACATATGTTGAACACGTGTTACATCTAGACAAAAGACTGAAATGGGAAATCAATGCAAGACTATGGTAAACTTTTTAGAATTACCTAAGGCAATGTTGCAAAACAACATTAATTCAATGATTTTTACAAAGTAACATATGTCAGTCTTTTGTTAACCCTATTAAAAAACATCTTTTTGTGTTAAGTAGTGAAGCATATTTTTGTGTGAACTTGCATTGATTTAAATTAGTCACATGATTATATAATGGTGAAAAATATCGCTGAGTAAACAGAAATTCACTTTTTGCACCATTCATCTGCATGTATAGTAAATATTTTACAAATTAATTGGGAGATGCACAGAAACACAAGCAGACGGATGGAAAGACAGGCAGATGGACGGTGTGATTCTAATATACCGCCTTTTAGGGGAATTAAAACAGACTAATATGCAACATGTTTACTTACTTTTATATGAGATATATTTTGGAAGCCAAAACAGGAATGTGTAGCTGACAAGTTTTGCAAAGAATAAACACAAAGAGAACTCTATCACACCCTGGAATAAAAACAACATTTTACTTACTGCTTCATGAAAGTAAAATTTACTTGCTGAATTGAATTTAGTTGCTTATATTCTTAACACAAGTTAAAGTATTTGGACATTTGCTTAAGGTAAAAGTAAAACTAAACAGACTAAATTAACTTGCAGATTTGCTTGCAAATTCAATTTACTTGCAGATTTCTTTAATCAAACAGTATCAATTTTAAACTTGCAGATTTGATAATGAAAAAGAGACTTAACAAAAGCAATAAACGTAATATAGATACACAAAATAAAAAGAACATTAAAACTATATCAATTTTCTTGATAATTTGCTTAATAAAAAATACATTTATTTACCAATTTCTTTAATGTCAGACTGGCCTGGCTCTATAATGGTGGCCACTGACTTTCATTTCAACTGTAAGGGTCAAGATATAGGCCTAATATGCTAGAAAAGAGAATGACAAACTTACTGGAATCATCAATGCTTTGAATAGAGAAATGGCTTCATCCTTTTTATGGTCTATATCATCATCTCCAGTTCTCATCAAAGGTTCCTCCTAAATGACAACAAATATATCATCAAATACCCAAACAAAAGTATTATAGGTCACACTAATAATTTCTTGTTAGTTACAATGGTAGATCTGCATTTGATTTTTTTCAAACTTTGCAAGACCAATATCCATTTGACAGAAAACCCAGATTCTTGATATGTGGTCAAATTCTAACTTTAGGTGATTGTTTAGTATTATTTGTCCATATTTATATTTTAACTTCAGGTAATTGACTGTTAAGTATCATTTGTCCAGTAAAATACTAATCTTGATCAATGTACAGCAAAGAGTTACATAGTGTAACAAGAGCTGTCGGTAGGAAAGCAACGCTCGACTATTCTTAGTGCTTGATAGTAAAAAAAAATCCTTGATACAGTTACCTCCTCCTGTTTACAGGTTGGGGTCATGATGGTGAACAAGTGTGCAAAGTTTCAAAGCCATATGTCAATGAACTTTGAAAATATTTAAACTATTACAAAAACTTTAACGTAAATTCTAAGTCAAAAAAGGGGCATAATTCTGTCAAAATGCTTGATAGAGTTACCTCCTCCTGTCTATAGGTTGGGGTAATGATGGTGAACAAGTGTGCAAAGTTTCAAAGCCATATGTCAATGGACTTTGAAAATATTTAAACTATTACAAAAACTTTAACAGAAGTGGTTACGCCGACGCAGACGCCGACGCTCGGGTGACTACAATAGCTCTACTTATTCTTATCGAATAGTCGAGCCAAAAAATGTATACATTTTTCCTTTTTTCCACTTCTTTGTATATTACATGTATATCATAATAAAAGAAAAAAACTACTGACTGCCTCTCCAAATTGTTTTGTCACAGAGAAAAAAAAAAACAAGCAAAAAATCATGATAATCTTGGTGGGGCTTTAAAAAATCAGTTCTAAATCCTAAATCCTTTATTACGAAATGCTCTGTAATTACTTTGATTAAAACATTTGAATATCTTTATCCAATTATGAAAAACACTAAATAACCCAGTTACCTCTAGGAACTTCTTGAATGCCTTTAATCAAACCTAATTACTGTTACATACATGTGCATTCTTCCAGATTAAACAAAAGTAATAGGTACAAAAGACAGATTCTTATACTCTGAGCAACATATGTTGCAAACATTTCTATATCTTTCATGTCAAATTATAAGATATAGAATTATGCAATCTTTCACTAATAGGTTCTAGCAAAGCTTTAAGCACTTTTATATCAGTTACATAATATACATGTATCATATGAGTTGTATATTTATATGAGTTGCTTTTTTAAATAATAGTTTCATGTTTGTAATTTGCATTTTAATATGAGCTATATGTCTATAATTATGAGTTGTATATTTATGCATAAATTGTATATCTATACAAGTTATGTTTATATAAATAGCTGTATGTTTATGTGTTCCATATGTTTATATGAGCTGTATATTTAGGCATGTTTTATATGAGTTGTATATTCATATGAGTTTCATGTTTATATGATATGTTTGTTTGTTTGTTTATATGTGTTTCTTTTTTGTATGCATTGCCTGTTTATATGAGTTTTTTGCTTATATGAGTTATTTGTTTATATGAGCTAAATGACAAGATATTTTACTTAATGGTGCAAGGTATTAAAAATAACTGCGTTAAAAATGACTATTTATCATTTAAAATCAAAAACATGATGAAATGTGTAATTATGTAATAATGTCAAAAGGAAATCCCAGTACCTTTGAATAAGAAAATCTTCATAATAAGTGTTATAAAATTTCTGACTAGCAATAACATCATATCATACAGTGACCATATCATACAGTGTAACGTCTGCAGAATAGCCCTCTGTTAAGCAATAACCTGTTTATAGCAACTGTTCCTTTTTTTCCCACAGCTAATAAGCAAGACTTCACAATAAATGAGCCGCATCAAGACAAAACCAACATAATGGGTTTGCGACCAGCATGGATCCAGACCAGCCTGCACATCCACGCAGTCTGATCAGGATCCAAACTGTTCGCTATCAGTTTTACTACTTGTAATAGGTTTTGGTAAACGAACAGCATGGATCCTGATCCGACTGCGCTTAGGGGTAGGCTGGTCTGGATCAATGCTGGTAGCAAACCCATTATGTTGGTTTTGTAGTGACACGGCTCAAATTAAACCTCTAAGGAGCAACGTCTTTCAGCAACAACCCAAATATCATTTCAGCTAAAAAGATTTTGCTCTGCAGAGATTGCACTGTACTAAGTACTACATATCATAATGTATAAATGCTTCATTTTTGAGATATTATATCTTCTATTCTATCACTGGAGATACTAGTAATTCTTAACAATAAACCAAGTACTGTTCTAGCCTCTAGCTCTCTTAATTATCATCTTTTGTAACATTGTTCAGTATAATCCTCATCTTTGGTAACATTTTGCTCTATGTTGATTCTGATATGAAGATAAAATGTGTTTGTTTGTTTGGTTTGGTTTTTACACCAATTTTAATTTTATCTCAGTGGTCAGTCCACCTAACCAGCTTTCCTGGATAACTAACCAGTAATAACCAATGCCTCTGCAAGTGACCGACTACTTATCACATAATGTCTGAATCAGCAGTGAGACAAATATTACTATCAGATTCAATAACCAAGATCAACTGTCATGTAGAAATTTAACCTTACTCAAAGATCAAACCAGTGACCCCCTGGGTTACAAATCCAATATATTCACTATTCTAGAGTAAATAAATGTGAACAGACATTTTTAGACAACATTTATGCCCTTTGTGCAGGCTTCTGTCTGAAATTTTCTTGAGAAATTATCTTGGGATGACTTCAAATTTCTAGCTTTACTAAGGTCCATAGTAACGAAAAAAAGTAAAGTAATAGAAAAATATCTGGAAAAAAAATGAAGAAAAGAAATTTTAACCCTTAACCTGCTGGAACTGAAAGTGATTGGCCTTTGCCACCAGTATAGAGCCAGGCCAGCTTGCACTACCATGCAGTCTGACCAGGCCCTATACTGATGGCTAATTCACTTTAAATTTTCATCTGAAATCCCCAGATGATTATGGACTGTTCCTAAAATGAAAGCTGGACAAGTTCATTTAGAAAATTTTTGCAGGTTAAGAGTTAATTTTTAACAACCAGGATATGTTACCACCACCATCAAGTAAATCTAACCCACCACCGGTTATTTCAAGCAAATCCTACCCACCACCTGTTTAAAACTACCTTAGTAGGCAATCCTGTATTAGTAACCAGTTCCGGGAATGGTCTTGCCCCACCCTGATGTTTATCATGTACTTCATCATTGGTCAGATGTGGTCCATTTTGAACTGACCCATTTAAAACTGCCCCATTACACCAATTTGACAAAACAACTTTTTCGCCATTAAAAGTGACCACTGCCCGACTAGGGTCAATGATTACTTCGCTTAAATCTATCTTTTTCTTATCCAAATCAGAGTCGTTAAAACCAAGATTAATTTTTTCGTTACAATTAACATCAGGATGGGCAACAGGTGCTTGTTCAGTTTTTAACACTGTTACAACACCGTCAGTTGACTGAGCACCATTTTGCTGCAGAATAATTCAAATACATTTATGCTTTCTATGTTAGTTTGTTCAAGCTGCTTGTTCACACTTTACGGAAATATCTTAAAATTACCATAAATTCCAACGATATGTTATCATATAAATATAAGGTTCAATAATTCATTTTACCATTAACATTGTCAATTGAAAGAAAATGACATTTGTTCACTATTCATTTCACGGGTATCGGAAAAGTGAGCCCCCATCACCCTTCACTAATAAATACCGATTTATATAAGAAATTACTTATTTCATTTAGCTCATAAAAAAGCTTTGCATATAATTTCGAACATTTTATAAAGAGAAAGAATATCGTCTCAAAAAATGTGAACAGGCAGCAGTGAGGTGAAAGAAAATTATTGAAATCAAACAAAAAACAGTTAGTGATGTAAATAAAAAGTGAAATAATATAAGAACTATAGGATTGGTTGTGAAACAAACTTAATCCAGTTTTCAATTGCCTGATTATATTCACGCCATTTTGCAAAATATGTAAAATATGACCGTGAACTGATTTTTTCAGAGCTACAAAGCAAACTGGCAACAACATTTCTTTGTAACTGAAATCATTATGCAAATAATGCTGCACGAAAAAAGCTCACAAGCAATAAACTGAACTTATATAAATATATACTTCTATAAAAACAAAATTTATAGTTTTTGAAAATAAAATAAATTAAGAATTAATCAGTTACTGCTTTTGGAAAAGAATATAGATGTGCATGTTAGTATAACATGCTAGGTTAGGAACAACAGAAAGACTGAATTACCTCTTCTCCCGCTATATGGTGAACAGGCCGGTCACAATTAACTGCCCCTGGTTCTGTAAACAATAAACTTCCAAATGTTATTTCTCATACAAACATTCTGCTTAACAAACTGTTTTAAAATATTACAATGCCATCCATTAGTAAAAGGATATTTTTCGTTTCAGTTGTGTGCTATGGCTTCAATTCAATATACAATTTATCACAGCCAACTTCAACCGTTTTGAAAACCATAAAGAGATAATTTCCAATGATGAAATGAATAGTTGAAGCCACTGACAGCAACAGAGAATCATCAGAGACAGAAGTCTAAAAATAAATGAGTTCTGGCTCCGCCCACTTTCATATTTATTTTTCATATTTGTTTTTTCACAAATATTATCTATATTTGGCTGATAAAGCACCATATTTTATGGGTAAAATAATATAATAGATCATATTAATTTTACTTAGCATAATGATATTTAAATTAAGTTAGAAAATGACTAGAAATACATACCTGGCACAAGAAAGAAGAAAACCAATATCCCAAGACAGCCGATTATAATTCCGGGAACAATGAAGGACCAGCCCCATGCATGATTCACCCAGACCCCCGCAATGAGAGACCCTAAAATGTTTCCTACAGATGTATGTGAGTTCCATATTCCCATGATCAATCCACGTCTGAAAACATAACAATTAAATAATACTGATTTAAGAGTACTTCAACTCATACAACAAGTTTAATAGAGAAATATAAAGATTTATAGAAAATAATTGTCTTAAAGCATTGTAGAGCGAAATAAAACATTTAAAAAAAATACATGTATGTCCTACGTACATTTATAACCTTAAATCTTTTACAAAATCAAAGCATCCTTACAAATTCTAAGTAAATTTGAAACCAAAAGATCATGCAATAAAGTGTATTAACCACCAATGGTTTACAATGTTTCAGTTCTCTTTTGTTTTTAGTTAAATAACCCTAACCCTGCCAAATTTCTTAAATGGACTTGTCCAGGGTTGTCATTAAGAGGCGGCAGGAGGCCAAAATGACTGTCTCAAATGCATTATGGGCCGCCTCAAATTTAAGAATACACTCTTTGTTATGCTTGATAAAAACAGAAATGGCCGCCTCAAGTCCAAAACAAACCTTCTGCGAAAAATGTTAATGACAACCCTGCTTGTCCATCATTCAATCAAGACACAACTATTCATCATTTTTAGGGAAAATTTTCAAAATATGTACTGACAGACTTATTAGCAAATAGTGCATGGATGGACCCGCAGATCTTAGTCTCACTCTGCACTTGTTGTATGGGTAGGTAAAACTATGGGTACTGCAAAGCATGACTATTAAGCTCTTTAAACAAAATTTCTCCCTAATAAATATTGCATTGTTTGATTTAGCACAAGACTTTTTAGTGCTTTACACAGTAAACCCTTAGATAATTGGTATTTTTAAGAGCAGCGATTTGCCTTGTGATGAAAGTGTCTTTCTCTCAACCCAGGAATGAGCCCAACTATCAACACCATATTCCTCATATGTCATCAGACACTAGCCAGTTCTAGGGTGCACACTTAACAATGGTGGAAATAAGTGTTATAGTTTTATTGTAATCACATTAAATTGAGTATGTTTCAAATAATTTATGTTAAATTTTTATCAAACACAGAACAAGAGCTTAAGACATTTTTGGTTCAGGGTTCAAGACAGATACTTACTTTCCCTTGCCATACCAGTTACCTACACAGGCCACCACACTTGGCCAGCCAGATGATTGAACTAAACCACCTATAATCTGAAAAACAATGAACAAAAAACTTATTGAAAACTTCAATTATGATATGAAGCTTAATATAATTATACAGTATAGAAACAAAACTTCATTTACACATTTATACATCAGTTAAGTACAATATGAATAATGTTACAAAGGTTACTGTAGATTTGGTAAATTATCTTATTTAGGATTGTAATTATTCCTAAAGTACAAACTTGTCTGCGTATGATTTTTGTAATAATAATAATGCAACCCTGTCGTAATGAATCACAGCTTAAATTTTTTTTGACTACAGCAGATTTGCTTTATAAAGACAAACGTTATCAAGAAATGATGAATGACCAATTTCCAAACTAATTTCTGTTCTGTTAACATTTTAAAATTAGTTTTTCGAGACCATATTCTAAAATTGTTTTTCGAGACAAAAATAATGTTCCGCATTGCCAAATCTACAGACCTCAGTAAGTACACTATTGTTAATTTACCTGAACAAGAATATAGTACCACAGCATGTGAATACCGAGAAAATAACCCATGCCAAAGGCTGCAGTGAGAATACCACTCGTTATCATTCCCAGAGACAAGAAATGCCGTAAATTCATCCGTTCAGCAATATGCCCACTAAAATGAACACATGGTTACAATTTTGTAAATCTAAACATAAACTAAAATTAGGGCTGTCAGTAGGACAGCTTGCTCTTGAAATAAAACACAATAGCCTTGATAATGTAGAATTTTCAAAGCTCAAAAAAGGGCCATAATTCTGTCAAAATCCTCCTTAGAGTTATGGGCCTTCTATTATGCTGTCAAATAAGCATGTGTAGTTTCAACACATTTGCTACAGTAGTTTTGGAGGTATCAACTTGCAAGCAAAAACTTAGCCAAAATGTGATGCCCATGAGTAGAATAGCTCTCCCTGTGTCTTTTACAGATTTAAAAAAGATAACAATTTTTCTAGTGTTATACTAATATTCTAGTTTTCTTTTCCTAACTTTGTCTTTAGCTTAGCTCACAGTTTGCAATCATAGCCATTTGAACAGCATAAATGCTGAACTCTGTTCAGTTTATAAGTCATAGAAGCACAAATATACTAGATGCAAATTCTCTAACAATGAATTAAACAATACAATCAGCTCTGATAATTATACTCAATTTACCAGCAGCCTTTACCAGTAAGTATCACTCAAGCTTAAAATGAAACATTATGAAAGCTTGCATCATTGATCACCCTTCAACCACAACTTCTTTGTCTGACTGATTCTAAAAACAATCTTTTCATACACATTTCTATTTAACTACAAAACTAGAAATGTGTCCAAAGGACACCGAAGCTGTGGACACATATCCCCCTCCCGACATTCCACTATTTTGTCTACAGACGGACAGCAGGACAGTGGGACAGATAATCAAGGACAAACTAAATCTCTCCGCCCTTAAAATGGGGCATAAAATATTTTTATATTTTACACCAGTACTACAACTTTTTAATCACATTATCATAAATAATCAAATACCACTGTATGATGTTAATCTATTTCTAAAGATTTAAATCAAATAAAATTGCCTTTTTTTTCTTTCTTATATTTGAAATCATAATCTTTAAAATTTGCATAAGGAAAAAAAATTTTTTTTAAACGGTTCAGTTTGCAATGTATTTGTCTTTGGTAATGCACATTCAGAAGTGAATACCCTTGAATCAAAAAGCCTCAGACAGTAAATTTAACATTGTTTAATAAAAGATCATTAAATTTCGCAAGAAAAAGCGTTCATATGAAATTTATACCTGAAGAACATTCCAACTGCATATGCAAATAAGTATGCCAAGTCAAGACTTCCCAGAAGTGTTGCAAAATCACCATGATCTGAAATAATACATTATATTGTTTTTTTTTTGATAATTCAAAGACTGCACAAACAAAACAATTGCAGTAACATCTAATTTTGGATAGTAAAGGCCAAAATTGGTTTTTAATAACAAAAGAAGTACATGTAGTTGTCAGATACTTTTCTATTGGTTTCATGACTTGGATTCACACATGATCAATGAATTGTAAGACAAATCATAAGTTAACTACACCCAAAACTCAAATTATCAAAGTACTTAAAGCACTGATGGAAGGGAATTTTCAAATTGTGCAAGATCATTTTTTAACATTAAACCTTTCTCAGTTCTTATCCAAAGAAAACATTTCTTAAATGGAAAAATAAATTCCATGAGTCATGCAATAAAGCCTGTTGATTCTACACTCTGGCACACCCCTCATGGTGACTATGTCAAGCTGTGCTACTGCGCTGATTAGGGATATAATTTCTACCAAAAGTTTTATATTCTGGCTGACATGCATGTAAGAAACAAATATCTCTCATTATTTGTTAGACATTAATAATGAAAAAAAAACCTGCAATTATAAATACTCAACATGATGAATATTCATTTTTTTTCATTCCAATTAAATGCAAATTTTATTCAGTATCTTGTATACAGACTTATACAATTTTTTGTTTCATCATAAGTGACAAAAGGTCTTGGCCTTCATAACAAGCTGCAAAATCTGTTGACAGACATTAGTGTACTGTGAGCTACATCAGCCAATTAAATTTTATTTAATAATGTCATTTTGAAATGAATCACCTTATAGCAGACAATGTTTACTCTTATCATAAGTGGAAAAACGTTCTGACCTTCATAACCAGTTTCAACCGGTACAGACAGGTGTTTTAATTAGTCAATAAAAAATTTACATAAAACACCTACATATTTCATTATTTTATTTCGAAACGGCCTTAAATCAAGAGAAACAAACGCTAGCTTCAAATTTCTATCTTGATATCAAAAACCTTTAGCAGTATTTCAATAACACAACTAATAATGGGGTTCAATTTTACTTAAGGTATTTCTGTTGCCCCTTGACAACATAATCTATTTATCAAAGTTAATGTTACTCTCCACATATTTATCATTTCACCTTTGAAATTTAAGTATTAAATTGTTTTGTAGAAAAAAAAATAGTACCTCTATGATAAAGACAACCCCATTTGTCCCTCCCTTCCCGATGTCATAGAAATTCACCCCAATGTACTTCAATGAAACCGAACAATCCTTTCCTCGACAAATAGCAAATAAACCCCATGTGTCCCTCTTGTCCATGTTATCGAACAACCACTTGTTCCTTCCATCAATGACAAATAGGACCCCATTGTGTCCCTCAGCGAGAAAAAAAGACCTTAAATGCCCTTTCCTTAACTGACAGATTTACCCCATGTGTCCCTCCAAGATAAAACAAGCTAAAAAATCCATAAATTCCCCCATGGGTCCTTCCAGTACACAGATGATACCATAAGGTCTTGTGGAAGGAAGAAGACGTCATGTACAGCACAGGTATTCCATGCAGATTCAATGATGTTGCATTGGCAACAATCAATTCTTTTTCCCCTTTAAACTGTTCTGACAATTAAATGAACTTCCATTTTTCTTTTTTTTTCTTTTTGGTATGTCCATTGTCACTTTAGGGGATTTCAGTATTTAAAAGCGAGAACTAATTTGTCAACAGTAGTGAACTTAAACTTGGTCGGACACACCTGTGCAGGCTGGCTTAAGTTAATACTGGATATAGAAAAACAAAATCTTGGCTTAGCGTTCAATGAGCTAAACTTACCCGGGGAGAATTTGTTAAATGGAATTGCCCATACTACCAATTTGGATCAGTCCATTTGAAATAAAAGTGATTTCCTTATCAAAAAGAAAAAAAAAAAAATTGCACTACCATCTGTATAGCCGATGTGCTGGTTGACATGACCCCATGACCCTATACTGGTGGCAAAGGGCAAAAGGTTATCACTTGCCATTCCAGCAGATTTCAGGTTAATGACACACTTTTAAGACAATTCAAAATGTCAACAACTTTTGCACTCTTAGATTTAATAATGATTGACATCAGGGTTATCAGGTCATGTAAATAAGAAACACTTCATCCTTAAAACTAACATTTTATGTCCTATTTAGAATTCCTGGGATACTATGATATTATACACTTTTGTTGAACAAAATCATTCTACTGGTAAATAACATTTTCAGTTCCTTTATCAAAATGAGCCGCGTCACGACAAAAACCAACATAATGGGTTTGCGACCTGAGCATGGATCCAGACCAGCCTGCGCATCCGCGCAGTCTGATGAGGATCCATGCTGTTCGCTATCAGTTTATTTACTTGCTATAGGGTCTGTTAGCGAACAGCATGGATCCTGATCCTGATCCTGATCAGAATGCGCGGATGCGATGAAGACTCATTCACTCACTTATGAAGAACAAATAGTACTTAATAATTATATTATTCTGTAGTCATTTTTACATAACACAATTAAGGGCGACAATATTCTTTTAAATTTCAAAAGCCATATTTTATTTATATCAATAATATCAAATTTTGCTCATTTATTTAGTTTTATTTCACCTTGTTTTTATTTACAAAATTTTACATAATTTTTCAATACAAATCACACAAAAAAAACTTTGCAACTTTTACAGATGAAGATAATGACATACCCTAGCAATAAAAAAAAATGCCAGCAAAAATCTTTACAAATTTTACAGATGAAGATAAGAGGGCAATAAAATATTTTTTAAAAGATTTTATCACAAAATAGATTTCTCTTACATAAAAGGCTAATACAACAAAATCGAGGCAATTTAGATCAAAAGAAGATTAAATTTTAAAACATACTTCCTAGATAAAGAAGATAGATTTTCTGATATGTCAAAGGTGATTTACTGATAACTTGACATATTTGCACCTACAAAGAGGTAGTCAAATTTTTCTCCAAATTTCATAATATACAAGATTACACGTGCTATACCGCACTAAACACTCGACAGCAAGCCTCAGCACATCTTATCTTCAAATAATTTATTATTAAGGCTACCTTGTTATTTCAAATGGTTACCACTATATCAACTTTCTTGTCAAGCCCTTTTTTTGTAATTAAAAGAGGCCACAAATTGCATTCATTACATATTCAAGATCACTGTTACCCTGGGTAAAAATAAAATGTCACACGGATGTGACAAGCCCAAATACTATGAGGATAAAACAGCAGGTGTAGATTAAATTTCTGAGTTCAAACTATATGCAATGCACTTAAAAAATTTGACAATTACTAGTTCCTATGTTTCAACAAAAAAACCTTGCACCTCTATAAGGCTTGTCGGCTAGAATTTATCTCAGGTTAGAAAAATGTACATCTCGATTTCCCGCCAAAACTTCATTTTAAAATTTCTAACTTCTGTCAGTCTGTAATTTCTTTACAAGGCAAACAAAATCAAGACAAACATAATGATCTTGTCTTGTCAAAGACTTCTCTTTTTCCATCATGTTCTCTAAAGTATAAACATCACAACTTACTAAATGGTGCCCAGTCACAGTCTGTAGAATTATCAAACTTTGCCACTTCAGTTGGTAGAAGTGGTATAGAACAATTCTTTCTGTGCAAAACTGACTGAAAATATAAATTACATTAATAATGTAAAATACTGTTACTCAAAACACACATATATATAAATACAATTTTTTATTAACTGAAAAAGCGGACTCAAAAACTTGCTCTGAAATACAAGTGGTCCCAAATAATATGCACTGTGACACAATTTGTTACAAATTAAATGCAAAATTCATGCATGCATATTTTTTTTTATTTTTTTCTATTTATTATAAACCATAATACAATTAAAAGCAAATATAACAACAACTTTCTTTTCTATTTTTCTTGATCATCACAATTCACGTGATATTTACGTATAATTGTACATTTCCTTAGACAGATCATACACTTATAAATATATATTATTAAGTTTAATACATTACAATACACTTACAATTACCCATTGCTAAAACAATTCAAACCAATTGAAATATATAAGCAATAGCTAAAAACAACTGTGACGTTAATCGATTATATTAAATTTTTCTATTGTTCGTGGAATTCAACAACTGCAGACACTTCAAATTGCAGATAAAACCAACGGGATTGTTTTACAAGGATATACATGTAATAAATATCAATTCGTTATTCTGTAGGTTGTTTTGAAAAATGTTTATTAAAATCCTAAGAAAATACAACTATCGTAATGTTTAATTTGTCACATGCAGAAAAAGGCATAAAAATGGCACAATTTCTAATGTACATTATTTTTAGCCCATGCAGATATGGCATGACTAATAATCAGTTGTAGTTTAGCAAACAGCACACTCTATGACCTAAATCCCCACTTAAAAATGCCCTTTTCCTTTCTTGATATAGCTCACAAATTTCAAGATCAAATTTCCGGTAGTCCATGCTAGAAATCTTATCACATAAAAGTCCATTAATGTTAAATCATCCGATATGTGAAGTTCAAAATAGGACAAAATTCTAATCTAAATGATATGGAGATTCTATGACAACAAAATTTGCTCTGCTGTGACATCAAATGTCTTAACCAAAGTAAAACCCTTTTTTTGGCGAAAAAAAAAAAGATCAATTTTTCTTTTGATTTGCTGGGAAATTCGTGAATCTTCATCATGATATATCAAAGAGAGATTTGCCAGTAACAATGAGAAAATACATTTAGACCATAATCAAAAAATTCTTACAATAGACCGTAGGTACAAACAATTTTTTGTGTAGTTTATACATCTTTGAAATTATAAAGCACAACACTAATCTATTGTGACAGGCAGTGCACCCTGATGCTATAACAGTAAAAGTTTGCTTGTACCTACAGATATGCTGGGAAAAACACATTTGCAGAGTTCCGGCCAGATTATAACATCTATTTTAACTAAGCTATTGTATATTTATACTTATTCTTGCCAATGGTCAAACTTAGTCCTCAATCTTTACCTTTACATTGTTAAATATTTAAATGATCTTGTCCATCTTTCAATCAGGACAGATTCTGTCTTATTTTGTTTTAGGGAATATTTCAAGATATGTACTGAGTGATACTAGTGAAAAGTGCAGACCATAATCAAAAGACACGCTTAAAGTTAATAATGTACACCAAATATATTTCTTCTCAAGTCAGTACATCATTTGGTTATCTGAGTGCCTTGAAAGTATGAGATGTTTATACGTAATGACCAACTTGTAAACATACATGTATATTTTGAATGCCATTCGGTACAAATAAAAATGAACCTAATAAACCCATCCAGGAAGTGTCATTTTAGCATAATCTAGTCTATTTAATGCTTCATTATTATTTATAATACAGAACAGAACATATATTTTATTTGACTATATAAAGCCTTGTAACAATATAGAGCCAATATTTTTTTTCTTATAACTGCTTCTCATTAATGAAATACACTAAATAATATTTTTGCAGGTATAATATATATATACATTGTAGTCTGTAAATCAACATTGTTGAAATAGAAAATCTGTAAATATCTTAAATGTCTACATAATGAATGAAGACAGCTGCCAATGTGTGATAATCAATAATAACCATTATAAAAAAATACAATGTACAAAGGACAGGTGCATGAAAATTCTGTCAGTTTTATGTTTACCTGTAAAATCTTTATAACACATTTAAGCTATATGTAATTCATCTACAATGCAAAGGTGTTTTTTGACAAATCCATACTTAATAGAAGGCACTAATTACCTTTATAAATATCAATCTCTTTGTGTGGTATCAGCTAATATACTTACAAAAAATTTATTTATAGAATTAGACTTATGTCCCTTTAAAGCCCTATATTTCTCTGCTACAACATTGTTATACAAATTAAGGACATTTTCAAGTTTTCATAATAGACATTTAGGCAAAATTTAAACTAACAAACATGCCAAGATTAAAGAAATTCTATTGAACAGTTTAAACCTTGCCTATATGTGTAATGAAAACTCCTGAAAACATCCTTTATAATACATTTAATGTAAGTAAAAAACATGACGATGACTGTAAACTAATTAGTTTTCATCAAGGACTTACCTTGACAATGCTGATTGGTTTCCTAGACAGATGGTAGCTCATGTAACAGAAAAATGTGAAGACCAGAATAAAAAACTTGTAACTGAAAAACACATAAAAATATGTATGTGAAATCAACATTATAAAGAAATATTAAGAGATTATCAAGGGTTTTTTTTACGCAAGAAGGTAAGGTAACCTTCCCTTAACTTTGTGAAAAAATACATTTTTTTTAGCAAAAGATGAAAAAACTTAATGCAAATTGTAAGAGGAAAAAATCAAAATTAGAAATACCAAATTTAGCAAGATATGGGTTAAAACATTTTGATCAATTTTAGTTGAATAAATCTTGTGTGGCTTTAATGAAGGAGACCATCTGATCTTTAATTTGTCTGTAATTTGTATTGTTCAGTAAATCAGTCAGCATTAAAAAGCTGGCATTTAAAAAAAGTCCTGTATTTAAGGTCAAATACATTTCTACTTGAGTGGTAATGATCACATTTTACAACACACACTTGATTTGTTTTAGGTCACAGACAATTAAGTGGTAAAGGTAACACAATTGATTGGTTTAATTAAGTCGCATCCTTGATTGATTTATGCCACAATCTTTAATGGGTTTAATCACATCCTTGGTCTGGTTTAAGTCATATACTTGATTGGTTAGTCGCATTCTTGATTGGTTAAAGCCACATGCCTACCGTATTTGGTTTTAAGTCAAGACTTGATTGGTTTAAGCCATATATTTGATTCAGGTTTAAGTCACATACTTAATTGCTTTAAGTCAAATACTTGATTGGTTAAAGCAACATGTCTGATTGCTTTAAGCCAAATACTTGATTGCTTTAAGTCAAAGACTTGATTGCTTTTCATCACAGACTTTTTTGGTTTAAGCCATATACTTCTTTGGTTTAAGCCACAATCTTGATTGCATTAAGTCAATGACTTGATTGCTTTTCATCACAGACTTTATGGGTTTCAGCCTTATACTTGTTTGGTTTAAGTCACATACTTGATTGCTGTAAGTCAAATACTTAATTGGTTAAAGCCACATATCTGATTGCTTTAAGCAAAATACTTGATTGCAGCTTAAGTCTAAGACTTGATTGCTTTTCATCACAGACTTTTTTGGTTTAAGCCATATACTTGTTTGGTTTAAGTCACAATCTTGATTGCTTTAAGTCAATGACTTGATTGGTTGAAGCCAGAGACTTAATTTGTTTAAGTCACAGACTTAAATGGATTACTAATTGATTAGGCCACAAATTTGAATGGTAAAGCATCAAGGTCACAAGCTTGAGTGGTTTAAACCCAGGTTTATACCAAAGAATAAACACTAAATATCAAACACTTTCAGATAAGACAGCAGTCATTTCAAGCTCATAAAGTTTATCATAATCAATTCTGAACAAAATGCATGAACATGAAGCACCTGCATGGATTTTTCTTCACAAATAGAAGAATAAAATGTAATATTGTTGAAGTTTGTTGATGCAAATTAAAACATTACTATTTCAAGAGAGAAATAGGGTACATGACATACTGGTAAATATTCTTTCAAATCTACAGTGATTTCAGAGAGGTCATGATAATTTCTCTCAGAGGTCATAATATAATGATATCTCTAGGAAAACAAGTTGAAGAGCTGCCCAGAGATGAATGACATTTCAACCTGTCCTTATAATACTGGGTTGAAAAAGTGGACACTTCAGGTTTAAAGAGTGGACTCTTAACTTACATCATTAACAGTTTAATGGTACTAATTTGTAAACAGGTCAGAATGCTTTTAGGTAATTGTTGTTTCAACATACTGATCAAGAAATATTTCGTCCATTTAATTACCCTAAGTTTTATCAAAAGCATACATTTGAACCATGGCTTTTGTCACTATGGTTGTATGTTATCTAAGCTTCTAAAGACTTTAATAATAGACAAACCTAAAGATTTGGATAAGGGCACAAAGAGCATATTCTGAATGTCCTTTACCTGGTATAACTCTAAATATATTAAACGGACTTGCCCACTTTGCAATCTGGACAAAACCATTAGTTTGTCTTTATGGAAAATTCGAAAATATAAAGTACAGTGCAGATCATGACCGGACGGCATAGAATCATGCCAGCTGATAATGGTCTGTACTTTTCAACTTATATATTTAAGGTCGAATTGGCGGATTTTGTAGCCACCAATAGGCAAACGGTTACATTAAACATCACACTCAACAAAAGTGAAATAAGAGTCATTCTTCATTGACGCGCCTATAGTACAACGCTAACATTGAGCGCATCTTTACACTATGTTTGTATATATAACGCTAATGACGTCACGTCAAAATATATGCACAGCCGTGCAATACCATATTTACGGAGTCGCAAAATCGGCACGGGTGTGTGATATAAATGTCCTTAAACAACACTAAACTTAATCTGGGCATGAATTTATTTGTATAAAAAAAATGATAATGCTTCCTAGCTCATGAGGAATTCAATAATTTCATGAGCTTATACCATGCTTCATGATTTATACTAAATCCAATGTCAAGTTCGCAGTTCAAGTTCAAGGTCAATGCCATTTCTTTCATATCAACATTCCTTTTTAAACGATTGTATCTATGAAAATAATATAAGGGCTTTGGCACAAGATATGTTCAACCTTTAACTAGCTTTGTCAAAAATGCTGTGATGTCCCATAGATTAAAGATGTTTACCGGGGCACAAGAATATTAAGTTTTAAGGTCGTTACCCTTGTCGAAGATTTGTTTAGTTTTAGTTTAATTTGCATCATACTAAAATGCCACAGAGTGACGTATAGTTTTGCATTTATCTCGCACAGACATTAAGGTGAATGGCAGCTGAGGTACAAAGGAAAGGGGGATAATGTGTTGCGGAATGGGAAATGGGGAACTTCCTGACGTCAGAATCAGATAAGACAGTTCATTTAATGTCAAATTGTGATACCAAACCCATAATTATCTTTCAGAACAAAAATGTCCTTTTTCTGCCCCAATCTTATGATTAAATGAATCTCAGGAAAAAAAGTTTTTTGTTTTTGTTTACTGTTGGAGAATTTTTTCAAAAACGGGAGGAAATATATACTTTTTGGAGAGGGAAATATGGGCTTAATTCAGCCTGCATTGCTCATAGATCAAAAGTGTTCTGTTTGTTTTCATAGACTTGCTTTTGTGATCTGCTTATAGGTGTACACTGTGTATATATATATCATGTAGGTTTACTGTAGTGTATACATATATAGTCACTCTGTGCCATTGATGTTAATTTATAACTTTATAAGGCTAACTTTCAGGCCAAAACCAGAAGAAGCAAGAGATAATAATGTTCAGGTCGGACTGATCACTCTGGCTGATTTGGCAATGCTTAACATACAGATTTAGGGATGATTTGGGTTTAAGTTGTTTTTTAGATAAGTCCAAAACATCTTCACTGTAAATATAATATGATAAGCATGATCACACTGAGGACTTTAAGTGCAAATCTGCTCAAGTTGTTCCTAATGGCGTGAGTTCGATTTGTTTTATGCCAATCCTTATCATAATAATTATGTTTTTTTTGTTTTGCAGATCAATCTTTTGAAAAACAAAACACTCTGGTCACTTTAATGGAGGTTTGTGTTGCATTGTCCTCAACAGAACTCATGCAGTTGAGATCTATATTATAAAATTGGTGGAGGGACCGTCAACCTCATATGCGGGATTGGAAATTAGTTAATAAAGGGTAAATATTTTAGTTTTTGTTGGAAGCTATAAACTTATTGAAACACTCTCGAATCTGTTCCTGGACCAAACCAGTACTAAGCAATGAGTGTGAAGTTTCTTGCTACAAATTGAAAATTATTGGATTGCTTTCTTCCAAATTTTCCTTGACCAGCCATTCATTTAATTATAAATAAATTCTTATAATTAAGGAGTTATCAAACATATAAGCTTATAGACTTTGCAATTATACACAGAACTTTATTTGATCACTATACTACGCCCTCGTCACTCATCACACAGGTGCTCGTCCAGTCTTGGTGCCCATACAACCCCCTAATCAGCCCCCCAAAACAAATTAAATTAAATAGCCCAAAAACAACTTTTCTGTGACGAATGAAAGAAAAAAAAATTGATAAATTTTTCTTTTCCTATACAGTAGACTTATGATACCTGGTATGAGTATAATTATAGAAAAAATAATTGTTTTTCCTTTCATTTAATATCACAGAAAAGTTGTTTTGGGGCTTTTTAATATTTTTTTTCTTCATTTTTTTGTGAGGGGGGAGATGGGGGGTTGTATGGACAAGCACTTGTGTAATGAATTCGACTTTCATTTGCCACCAATGAAGGCCAGATTAATACAATCAAACAAATAAGCTTGAAATAGATTATGGAGATATTGAATCTAACATAGGCCTATGATCTTCTGGATGTACACAAATTTTTTTACTTTTTAGTTTTATATGCAAAAAATTAGTGATATTTGAAGTAAGATGTTACATTTATTCAGTTCAGTAAATCTATTTCGATGAAAAAGTATACTTAAACTCAACCTTTTACTTTGTAAAGCTGATTCAACAGAACTTCTATTTACTGGAAATCACTCCAATTATTATCAGCTGATATTTACGACTGCCAAGCGTGAATGATCAATCGACAGTTGAAAGGAAAAATGAAAATTATGAATGAAAATGAGTTACTCACGCAACATTTCTATCAACCCCGGGCAAAGCGGGTAATAGCCTAATTCCTAGCGGTACTGATCTCGCCATCACTTTGTTCGCAAGTGCCGTTATCTAAATTCTACCACTAAAATATCTGTCTAAATTACGGTCATCTCCGCCTCAAAATTACCCAACTGTAACGTGTGATCATGTGATCATCACAAAGCATTCGGAATCTATTGGCCTATATCAGTGGGGCGTGACGCGGGAGTAAAGCGGGAAAATCGAATGCATGTGTATTCTGCTTTTTTCACAAAAATTAAATGGCCTGTTTTATTTTGTTATTAAGGCTTTTAAAAAATAATTTACCTGCGTGCAATTACCACACAGCATTAGGTAGTCATATAAATTTGACATTGCTGCGAGATATAATTATGCAAAGCTGACCATCATGAACGACCAAGATCGGGATCACGGAACGACATTTAAGGTCCGTGTCAAATTCAAATTTTCTCCATAGTTTATCCTCATCCTCATCGAATATTTGATATATAAACTTGATTTAACCTGATAATAACTTAAAATAGCATAGTTATGAAATTTTAGACCGAATTTATCATTTTTGCAAGATAATAATGGGCATTTTACAGTTGATCCGAATATTGATATTGTTCCGATATTGTTCCGACTATAATTTTGTATTTCTTTTATAATTCGTTGATTTTATTCAAATTTCTGCAAATTAGCAATTTTCTTTATACAGTGTGAAAATGTATCATTTAATTCTAGCAAAATACGATCAATTTTAGTTTTATGAAATAATGAAAATAAAATCAGGATCATATATTGAACGCGGAGTCTGATATACATGTATATATTGGTCTAAGCCGAAAGTAGGTCACTTACAGTGGTCAATCAGCTCAAAAAAGTACAACAACCAGTGACAATAATCAGAGTATATAGCTCTGTGAAATAATGAAGGTTAGCCTTGAAAAGGGATGTTTGTGCCAGCAAGTCTCGCCACCGCCATAAAGCAAATAATACTATTATACTTCAATATCTTTCAAAATCTTTTTTATAATTATTTAAATTATCTTAAACGGGAATGAGATCATTCGATATTATATTGGTAGATAGTGATCACATGGAATTCGTTTAAGAAATTATCATGAGATACGAGTGATAAAGCCTGCAGCTGTTGTTTGATCGGCTTTCAGCATCAAGTCCTATTGTCCTTATGCAAGTATGTTTATATCTGTATTGTCTGCAGAGCATAACCAGCTAAAAGTTAAACTGTATATGGGAAGTAATATAAATAATTATTTTTGTAGGTATCAGAAAAAAAATCTTATCATTAAAAGGAACACGATCGTTTCAGTTAGCCTTTGATAGCGCATTTCATTGATTGTTTACGTACTCAGTGCATATCCAGTAACGCTAGAATGTGCAAATAACGTAAAAGTAACGCCGAATCTGTACAACGCTATTGCCAAAACGAATAACACAGTATATAAGTAAATGAACCAAAATATTTTTATTCTGAAATGAATTAGCTCATACAGCTGCTACGACATTATACTTTTACCGGCATCACAATTGTTTTTTACTTCTTTAGATCATTCGTGAGAAAGACCACCCGACTACCGTTTTGAAGGTGACTTTTGTGTTTCGACAAATAAATAATTATGTACATTAAACACATTTATAACATTTTTTTTCACATTCTGTATACCTAAGACATTTGTCAAACTGCAGGTGTCGTATAACAATAGAAGGAAGCTGGTAAAATAAATTCCAGCTATTTTTAAAGAGATTGCCGCCGTTGCTTCAATGCTAGATTCACGAATTCGGCGTTACCTCTTAAAAAATGGTCTCAATTACAATTTATCTACTAAATTTAGTGTAATATGACACGAGTAGATTAGAAAATATTTCAGGTACACCGGATATAAAGATCATAAAGAAATATGTAGGTTACTGTATTGAAGGATGTCAACGAAACTAAAAATCACCATCAATATGTACGCTAGTCAGGTCGTCATTTTCTCGAATGTTCTTGAAACTATTTTTGATGAGTTTTAAAGAATAATGTCTCAGCAACCGTATGCGATGATTCATTTTTTCCAATGTGGAGTACAATAAAAAATATTGGTCCATTTACTAATCGCGGTGCTCGTTTTAGCCACTAAATTGCACAAATCTGCGTTACTTGTGCACAATTCCTGCGTTTTTTTGCGCAATCCTGCGTTACTGGATATACACGGTGGTATAGGTCTGACTTATTAAAATATTTCCTAATTAATGTTTTACATCGTTATTTGGGAGGTTATTTTAGTCAAGGTTGTCGGCCATTTTGAAACTGTACGTATATTCAAACAATATGGTTATTGTGACCCTAAAGGTTCTGTGCAGTAATAATTTGACAAAGTTATCACAAATCTTACTAAATAATATAAATGCATAACTTTGATAAATCATGTAGGCCTCCTTAATGACAGCCAATTTTTTTATATTACATAATTATTAACCTTGAAATGTGTATACCAAAAGTATTTTAGTTAAATAAAAAATATTAACAAAGGCAACTTAAGTCGTTAGTCGAAACCCGCCTTAACGTATAAGGTCAATGTGACTTTGACATTTGAGCCATAAATCAATAGGGGTTATCTACTGGCCAAAACCAATGCACCTGTAAAGTTAGAAGTTTAAGGGCTTATGAGTTGTTGAGATATTGATCAGAAAGCGTTTTTACCTATAAGGTCAATGTTATCTTGACCTCAGACCCTTTGACCCCATAAATCCATCGAGGTAATCTTCTAACAAAAAGCAATGCATCTGTGAAGTTTGATAATCAAGGGTCCATGTGTTTTCCAGTTATTAAATGGAAACCGTTTTGACATTCAAGGTCAATGTGACCTTGACCTTTGATCCCAAAGTCAAATGTGGTCATCTACTTGCCAGGACCAATGCACCGACGAAGTTTGCGGGCCAAAGGCCAATGTCATGTCAAGCTATTGATTTGAAACTGTTTCTACCTACAAGGTCAATATGACCTTGACCTTTGACCCCAAAAAACAATAGAGGTCATCTACTTGCCAAGACAAATGCACTAACACAGTTTGAGGGCCAACAGCCCATGGCTTGTCAAGTTATTGATCGGAAACCGTTTTTACCTACAAGGTCAATATGACCTTGGATCGCATATTCAATAGGGATCATCTACTACCCAAAGCACCTACGAAGTTTGAGGGTCAACAGCCCATGGCTTGGCAAGTTATTGATCGGAAACCGTTTTTACCTACAAGGTCAATGTGACCTTGACCTTTGATCCCAAATTCAATAGGGGTCAACGCCTGGTCATGAACAAGCATCATACACAGTTTGAAGTTCCTAGGCCTAAGCGTTTTTTAGTTATTTGATATATGGACCAACTGCTAAATGCAATGCAATATAGAATCTCCCCCCATTTCTTTGAAGGGGGACATAAGACATCATCGAATCAAACAACTGCGATCATTGAACGTCGAATCAATGTTGAAACCAAAATTTTCATATGATCATCAATTATTTTCCTCATTTGTGGAGTTCATATGATGTAAAATTGGATCTATATTTATGCTCAAAGGCAGATAACGCTGTCTTTACCTTAACATTGCTAATCAGAGTAACTTCCCTTGCAATGGGAGTATGGGTGTTAATATTTGGGACCATTTGCAAGTTGAGATTACCGTGTCGATCTTTGATCCACTCATATATAATCAATTTTTGACATCTGGTTAAGGGACACTCAGATCTTTTTGTCTTGACTGGAACTATTTTTCCACGACTTGTCCGATCTTCAGTGTGAACTTTCAAATCATTCCTTAATTCGCCTCATTTTAAATGTGAAAAATGACCCAATATTGAAAGACATTCCCGCGCTTTTCACATACATAGGATAAAGAATCACAATATCGATATTCAATTCAATCTAAACCCTATTTTTTTTATCCTGTGCAGGTTTTTCTATTGTTACAGCTTCAGTAACAAGAGGGCCAAGATGGCGCTAGACCGCTCACCTGACATTCGAACTCTAAGCAATTAACTAGATAAGCATCCCGACTTAATTTGCTGACAATTGAGTAAAAAATGTGACCAAAAGATTATTCCATATAAGGGCGGTCTGACCTAGTTTTTGACCCCAGGTGACCCATATTCGAGCTTGACCAAAACATCATCAAAGCAAACTTTCAGACTCATTTCCAGGATATTTGGATCAAAAATGCAGCCATTATAGTGTTAACAAGATTTTTCTACTTTTTACCACCAAAGGAACATTCCTGTGAAGTTTGGATGAAATTGGCTTAGTGGTTTATGAGGAGATGTCATTTAAAGTAAAAGTTTACGGACGGACGGACGGCGGACGAAAAGCGATCACAAAAGCTCACCCGGTCACTTTGTGACAGGTGAGCTAAAAATTGCAGATGCCAAAACTGGTTTTCTTCTCCGGTTGTTCTGTTGTTGGTGTATAGCTTTGTTAGACTTCCAAGTGTAATGTTGCTATTATGCATTCCTCATTTCAGTATTGTAGACGTTTCAAGTCAGTAGTAACCAGGTCAGTCAGGAAAATTTAAAAGCCTCTTTTGGTAATTGCAACCCTCCGAGGACGGTCAACTCTGCTTACTTCCCTGCATGCGGGGACCGACAGGTACGCAAGAATCAGATTTGGAAATGGTTATCCCACTGGACAATGCAAATCTTACTTCGGATTAAATTTATGTATCAACATTTGAAGCATGTGTATATATTATTTCTTAAGATCAGTTATTAAACTGTTTACTGAAGTGAATACTTGACTCTAGTCAATCTTGCAAGTACAACCCTAACTTTTTTGGTACAACTAGAACTGCCACGGTCATGGCGTAAATACCCCCGCATACCACTTTGTCAGAATCAACAGTAGTCATTAAGAGCTCAAGAACAACCTCCCTGCCAAATCTGAAGTAAGCCAAAGCATTGCTAAACAAGCAATTATCATAGTATTGCAAGCAATCCATAAGTCCCCTACCGGTTAGAACCCCATCAGCATTCTGAAGGGCCATTCACTAATGTTTCAATTTTTCTCTATTTTAAGTAAATTTGTTGGAAAAGTTCTTTAAAAGTGATCACAGGAAACAGTTTTTATGAACAGACAGACAGACGGACTGAAGGACACTCTAAAGTTAATATTTGAA